CAAATAGGATTAACTAAGTAAATAAGACATACTTATTACAGATATATAAAAAACACTTACTGTTATGATAATTAACAAAAGTTTTTTCGAAAAAAATTGCTAACACCTAAACATTTGGTCAAACGAATGAAAGAATTTAAAACTGAGTATAGGTAATTTTCAAAAGAACAGGATATAATAAAATGTAGAACAAAAGGAATGTTCAATTTTCGTTAATCCAACCGTAATAGTATAAAAAAATATTTACATATCTATAATCAGCATAATATCTATCAATTTTGTAGAAAACAAACATTCCTTTCATATACAAAATGGTAATGCTAGACATTTGTTATAATAAAAATCTATTGCCATTCTATTTTTTTTTATACTATAGTAATGGAGTTCTACAAAATATTCCATTACAAAGTTTTAGAGTAAAATGAGAAATAATAAGCATGTAACATATTTTTCGATTATAGAGATAAATTTCGGACAAAAATAAAAATGATCTTATTCAAGGACATAAAATAATGTGTGTACAAAAATGTTTGCATTGATGTAACTAACGTACAACGAAAGAATAAGAATAGCCAATAAAATTAAAGATATAAGTTATAGAAATAACGAGATCTAGACATAAGTTCAAGAAAGAAAAAAAATCCAAACGATACACTTTGAGCAGACATAAATAAAAATATAAAAATCAGACAGGTAATAGAGAATAGACATATGATATATAAAGTGTGAGGAATAAAGATTCAATTGTTAGATCAAGCAAATACATCAACGAAGTTAGACTTTTGCTTTAAATCGACACAAAACAGAAATTAGATAATGTGTATATTTCTATGTTTGTAAAACATTTTTTTGTAATTCATCTGAAATACAGGTTATGATTAAATTGAATAAAACAATAAAAAAATTTTCTCTCTCAAACATATAGAATTTGAAGCCATGTCTGAGATATAGTCCTTGTCAAAGCTGGCAATGATATAAGACAAGAGGCTAGTAAACGTGTTAGATGTTTATGATAGAATTATCAGAAAACTGGCAAATAATTATTATGCAACCAATTCAAAGTGGTCATGATTATTTATGAATTTATATTGTGTTTAGGAAAACATAAAGTTAAAAAATCAATAGCAATAAACTGTTTGAAACACTGTCTCATAACAAAGTAGTAGTCTTATTTTAATTAATAATTACGTAAGCATCAAAATGGATAATGAAAATTATTTTAATTCCGTAATGAAGTACGGTCGAGTACACTCGAGTATGAGCTACATTTGTGGTGTGTGCTACTTATATTGACATAAGTAGTATATGATGTTAGTCGTAAACAGGTCTGGCAGCAGAGAGACAAGAGGATCGAACAGTAAAGAATGGAAACAAAATGTAATTTGTATGAAAATGCAAGAACAATGAAGTCTGAGTCATTTTGAGACAATTGATGGACATTTTGCAAATTCAGCATTTACTTTATGATTGTCCTGTGATTGTGTGTTAAATGCATCTGATTGTCTTCCACATTTATTAGTGTGACGTCTACAAAGCGAGTCTGTCACGTGCAATTATTCAGTGACTGGAAATCAAGTGTTTTAACAATCAATTAATTATGTCACTTGTAATAGATCCAATTTCAAATCTCTTTTAAAGATGTCTAATAATCTATCCAACGTGATTGTGCCCAATTTTTTTAACACTGCATTTTTTTGCATTCATTTTGTTAATATCTGATTGAGTGAACATTGAATATTTATATTCTAGACGAAATACGGATCCTCACTCTTTTCGAAACACTGTTGTGTTTCAAGAGTTAGTTTTGATTAACAGGTCCTATGTAAAAGATCTAAGGTCCGAGAATAAAATCATACTACTAACTGTGCTGCGTTATAGTAGTAGCACGGTATTCCTCACAGATAACAAGAATCTCTAGTAATACTACCTTCTAACGATGAAAGAAAGTTAGGAGGGGTCGAACCTACAACCAGCAAATCTCACCTTGCCACATAGATATTTGATGTCGCCTGTAAAGTCTGAATATGGAAACAATACATAACAAACTAATTACAAAAAGCTATGTGACCAAAAGCAATGCGGACTAGTGTTGGAAACGGATGGAAGAAAGTTAGGGACGGCCAAACCAAAACATGACATCAGTTCATAAAGTTACTAACTTCTGGTTTGAGCCATGTTGGTAGATGCAGACTACTTGGTTGGGGTCCGCGCGACTATCGTAACCACTGGTTGGAGACACTGGATGACATAACTCCGAACTGACCACAATGGCGTAGGGTGTATACACTCTTTATCTTCCCTTAAGCGGTGAGATTAAAATTACTTTATCACTTTCTTTCTACGAACTAATTCTTATTCCCTGTATACAAACTTTATTTATATATATTACTACCATCGAAGTAACTGCATCTATGAATTTGGTGTTCATCTTGTTGTGCTAATTAAGTATGGCAACTTGGACTGACGCATATAAATGTCTGCTCCTACATTGTAAATGACTGACTTTGTGAACAGGCACAATCAGATGTCTCTCTTACGTTGTAAAGTTACGCTTCTCGTGTTGACAGGATCGCGACTAACAACTGGTATTTATTTTAATACTTCTTGAAAAGAAATATTCTTTCACGGTGTACGCAACAGTGAAGTGACAACGATCCCTACACCTCTAACAACAACAAAATATGAGCAGTCTTAATCTGTAAGTTACGTTAACTTTATATAGTTTCAAAATCTATAATGTTTGTCACACGATAATATATTTTTTGGAGATGACTTTACGGAAGCCAAATTGACCAAGATCAAACGTAACGATAGTGCCCGTAATAGCAACTCCACAAATAGAATATGGCTCCATAAGAAAGAATGGATTCACTAGATAAATAGTATGAAATAATATTGGAAACTGAAAAAGTTGTGAGATGAAGCATGAATAGATCTAAACGACTGTGATTGACTCGAAACAATTTTCTTCCAACGTCTCCCTAATCACTAATCATATTCATTGAGCGACTCAGACCACGAGTCAGTTAATGATCTAATATTGTTCTATAATGCGGTCAATCAATATGATAGTATTTTATTTTATGTGAGTTTATTGCTCACTATCTCGTCTGGATAAAGTTACCTGGTATTTTGATTTGATTACAAGTACAATGATAGCTGCTAATCTTTGGGATTATAGTTTATGCGGTTAGTTTGAAGATAGGTATTTTTTTATGGTGTTCATTTGACATGTTGTAAGATGTTAATCTATCATTTTTACTAAATACGTGTTGTTTTTAGTCACACAAACCTTAAAATGATAATGCATTCAGCTTAGGTATAAAGCTAGACCAACAAAAACTACAAACTTCTTTCCCCCCACCAATTCATTTACAGCAGCAAGTCAATATAATAACAAAAATTATTTTCCTAATAACTACATTCACTAGATTAACTTACAAACATTTTATATTTTAAGGCATCACAACATTGGAAAGACGGGGTTGGTGAGTGAATGATTTACAATGAATAAACCGATGCACTTGAATAACTTAGGTGAACATAAAGAAAAACACATCACAAAACTGGCATATTAATATACATAGGTATAACGGAAAACAATAAAATGATAAACAATGCTACCTACGATGACTAAGTATGTGTATATGAGTGAAGGTGTATAGGTAGACATTCCAAATGCCTTAGCGACTAAATATCTTATGAATGATTTTTTTCTGTACTTTAATTAGATTAGACTGACTCCGATTTTAGACGAGAAATTCCACTCAATCTGTGTTAAACAAACTACCATCATCATCATCATCGTCAACACTGACACCACCACTGCTACTGTACAAAAATTGTGCTAGGTCACGGTTATTTCAGGCAAAAATGAGAAGAGAACACAAAACAACAAAAGTAAAATAACAACTGACCTACACATTAAAACAATTGAGTTTCTAGTCTAACAAATAATGACCTGAACGGCGTAGCATTGATTTGACACAATCAGTATGGTGGTAGTATTTTCAGTGTCTATGACAAACACAGACAGTTTAGTAAGTTATGGATGATATATATATATATATATATATATATATATATATATATATATATATATATATATATATAAGCTCGCGTGCTAGACCGAATGTTGTGGTTTCGAATCTCGCGAGCGGGATCGTGGATGCGCACTGATGAGGAGTCCCATGCTAGAACGAAATGGTCTTCCAGTGCTTCCAGGTTTTCCATGGTGATCTAGCCTTAATTGACTCATAAATTCAACTATTAAATTACTACAATCTTCACAAAACCCTTTTTTGGTAAGACAAATAATTAGGCACAATTGATTTACATGAAGGCATTTGGTTTAGGGTTATTAGAATTGAAATGTTAACTGGATGATACTCACCTTTCGGAATCTGGCACGCCAAGGTGGGGGCAGGAGCTTGTTAGGAGAAAACAGGTTTCAAATAAAGAATAGATGGAATGTGGCTAGTAGTGGGATACAGGACGTCTATTTCGTTCTATTTGTGACTCATCAGTTAGATGTACCTGCATCTATTCAATTTTATCTATGTCGAACTTTATCACAATGGCTATATCGAGGCGATCCGCACAGGACGCACAAGTGCCAACCAAGACTGATCGAATTTGAGCCAAAAATATCAAAAACTGAATGATCCAAACCATTTCATATTGAATTAAGTTTTTAAATATCGTTCCGAAGAACATTTGATGACAGTGTAAGCGCATTCTCTAATGTCAAAATAATATTACCTCTGAAGCGCACATAAATTGGACGAAATTACTAGCTGAACTATTTGCGAATGACTTAGTTTAATAAATTGGATAGTGGAGTGCGGAGTAGTTTTAAAAGGGATTGGGATATAAAACTGAACATCACTACTGATTTGCATGGAACAGCTTGGTAAATAATTAATTAATATTTACACTAGTAATGATTCGGAAAATATTGAAAGAAAAAACAAAAAAGTAGCAATAAATGAAAAACTTACCGCCATATTTTAATTAAAGAATCACACCCACCAGAAACTAGTCTTTTGATAGGAGGAATCATAGTATTTGTTGATGTTGTTGTTGCCAACGTGGGATTGAATATGAATTCAGCATTTATAGAGGGTGCCCAAGACACGCTATTAACACCAACCTTAAACAATAGAAAAATAACTTGATTTATGATGCATGTTTGACAAGGATGCAAGAAGATTTACTAGTTATTTGTCATAAAAGTGATTAGAAGGTACGAATATTTTTTGACATGACTAAAAACTTAATGAATATGTACTAATCAATATAGTGTAGTTAGTCATACATAAGATAAATCCTGAAACATGTGTACATCGGTTCGAATTGACAAATTCGTCTGGCTGTGCTAATGAGCTACGGCCAGACAAACCCCACGGCAGCAGAAATAGTGCCATTATTAGTAGTATTAGAAAAGATTAAGCATACAAAATTCAATTCCAGAAATCGCAAATTAGTGGAATAAAAATCTACAGGAAATTCACAAACTAAAGGAAGACAAATAGTGAACGAATCTGCCCAATTGCAAACAATTTTGAGCCATGACAACCATTGGTTACGAAAATCATGCGGACCCCAACAAGGTGGTTTATACTAACCTACATGGCTCGGTCCAGTAGTCAGTTTCTTTAGGAACTAACACCATAATTTGATTTGACTACTAGCTTTCTTCAAACCCACTCCTATACGAACCATCATTGCGCGTCAAGGTAGTCAATCGGAGGGAATATGTAAGACGTTTCTTAACCATCTCAGTCAATGTACCACAATTACCTAGCACCCTGACTCTAAACTCAGAATTGTCAATTCGATGGTTTCAAAATGTACGACCAGTGGTTCGAAGATAACTATGATCGAATACTAGTAACTTACGGATATCCTCTATTTTTAGAGGCCATTTCTCATACCCGAAAAGTAGAATGGAGCAAACTTCTGTATAGTAAACTCGTCGTTCGGCCAGCAGACAGATATCTCCACCATGGCACAAGTGACGGAAGTGTGTGAATACCCATTAAGTTCTCTGAATTTTTGGCACGATTTTGTCAGACACCAACTCACTAGGGCCGATGAGACTTCCCAGATAGGTTAAGTGATCGATGCGTCCAATTACAAAACTCCTTATCATTATTTCAGGAGTTGATACAAACCAACTATAAAGCAGCAATTTGAATTTAGATGGGGAATGGGAAACGTAGCCTAAGCATACTAACATCGTTGCTCAAGGCGACCAGAGGACTCGGTATTTCTCAGTCTTCGTCGAATAGAACTATATCATCTAGGTATTCAAAGCTAGAAAGAGAATCTCGTGATAGAAGATCGATTCTGGGGACGGACGATATGAGCGTTATCCCTAAAAGAATATCTGTAAAAAAGTTAAATAAAAATAAAGGAAGAGAGCAACCCTGACGAATACCACTTGAAGTTATGAACTCCCGTGACAGTTCACCAAAAGTTGACTCGAGCAGTGGTGTTCAAGTGGAGAGTCTGTACAAAACTAATGTACTTCTTTGGTATGCCTTTTGATGACGGACATTGGAATAAAACCTGTCGACCTACTGATTCTAACCGTGCCATAAATTCGAAAAATACAACGGTGGCCAAAAGTCAGTAGGTAAGTTTATATTTCAGAAGCTGGTGAAAGGTAAATATTTAGTCAACATATCCACACTCAGGTCTGAAAACAGCCCGGTTTTCTTGGGTTTGTTCTTCACAAGCTTTAGTTAGGCGTTGGATGATGACTGATGATAATATTATAGATACTGCCAGTCAGACTGATTCGTCTGTGGTTTTTACAAGTGAAATTTTGTTCTTTCTTATAGACTGAAACAATCAACGATTGAAACCAGTGAGAAAGGATTACGTTCCGTCCCAAGATTCTAGCTAATATCGCAGTCAATCTAACAGCTAAAACTGAACCACTATCCTTCGAGATCTCAAGGGCTAATTCAATAAAGCCTTCTGCCCTCCCTCGCTTTAGGTTAGCTATGGCTAGTTTTACTTCACTGAGTCGGGGAGATGATATGACATCCCATACAGGTTGCTTGGTTAGAGTGGCAACTGGAGGATAGTTGCAGAGCAGTTAAACTAATCAACGTAGTGATTATAGGCAACTAAATCAGTTTGAATTAAAAATCTGTAGAATACTAGTGTTAGTAGTAACATGAAAAACAAGTGGATTGGTCAGGAATTCAATCTCACCAGAGATTTAGCTATATTACCAAAATATTTAACATAATTAGGATTTTGCGTGACGGTAAAATTACTTGTCAACTATGCGGGAAGTGCTCACTTTCAAGCATAATAATTATAATGGTGTCCCAAATAACCAAGAGTTCGTTTTGTATATACTGGATCATAGTGGCAACGAAAACTTTACATCAGTAGATATCAAAATAGTAGGTGGGGTGATATCTATAAGGAATGAATTGACAGTTTAGAGAGTATTTTTGAGTCTCTTCTTGTCAAAACACAATGCAGTGACTTAGAGTTCGGTAATGTTCTTTTAAGTAAACCATTCATATACATGGTATTTTGTGTGAAAAAAACTCAATCACTACTTAACACTGGCTAACTAGATTTCATTTGATCTATACACAGAATTGTGAAATCAAAAGCAGAGATTGAATCCTTATTATATATAGTAAACGGTAGTATATCTGATACATCTACAGACATCCACAAGGGAATGATGGTATGTTTGGATCCGTGAAGAAGTTATACCAAATTAAACAGCTATGGCAACAATAATGAAAAATAAGTTCATGAAAGACCAAAGTTCTTAGGAAAGTGAGATGGGTAGGAATCTTGAGATCTTTAAACTGCTTCTATAGTATTTATATTTTGTCTTATTTGCAGCAGATTCAAACTGAAACTGGATAAGTTATAAATTAGGTGCATGTAGCTTGTTTACGAAATATTTAACGGCGGTCATGATTAAGGAGGGAAGTCAACTTCGACATGTTGGAGAACATGATGACTTAGTAACGACTGTTACCTCAAATCACTAATTACACTATGGTTTTTATCTTAATTTGAAGTTCAATCACATGAGCGACTGTTACTCCTTGTGTAGAAGCATAGGCCACCCACCAGCATTTTCCATCGAACTCTGTTTTGGACAATCCTTTCCAGTTGCTGTTTGTCCTTTTCATATCTGCTTCCAGTTCCCGGCACAATGTGTTCTTTGATCTTCCACTTTTCCGTTTCCCTTCAGGATTTCAAGTTAGCGCTTGCCTCGTGATCCAGTTTGATGGTTTCCTCAATGTATGTCCTATACACCGTCATCATCTTTTCCTAATTTCCTCTTCATATGAAAGCTGATTTGTTCTCTTCCACAGTAGAATGTTGCTGATGGTATCCGACTAACGGGCATTGAGTATCTTGTGTAGACAATTGTTTATAAATACTTATGCATTTTTGGTGATGGTTGTGGTAGTTCTCCAAGGTTCAGCTTCGTACATTAGAACTGACTTGACGTCCGTATTGAAGATTCTGACTTTGATGTTGATTGACAGTTGTTTTGAGTTCCATATGTTCTTCAACCGTAGGAATGTTATCCTTGCTTTGCCAATCCTTGGTTTTACGTCTTCATCTGAACCTCCTTGTCCATCGATAATGCTACCCCGATAGGTACGTGAAAGATTGTACCTCTTCCAGAGTTTCGCCATCAAGAGTGATTGGATTGCTGTTCTCTGTGTTGTATTTGAGTATGTTGCTTTTCCCTTGTGTATGTTGAGGCCAACCGATGCAGAGGCTGCTACTACACTAGTTGACTTCACCTGTATTTGTTCTTGTGTATGAGATAGAAGAGCCTGGTCTTCTGCGAAGTCCAAATCTTCTAGTTGATTCAGAGCTGTCTAATGTATTCCGTGCTTCCCGTCAAATATGGAGGTTTTCATAATCCGGTCAACTATCAGAAGAAAGAGAAAGGGGGAGAGTAAGTAACCTTGTCTGACTCTAGTCCTTACTAGGAACGTATCCGTCAGCTGTCCTCCATGCACGACTTTGCAGTGTATTCCGTTGTATGAATTCCGTATGATGTTGACGATCTTCCCAGGTACTCCATATTGTCGAAGACGGTTCCATAATGTTCTCCAATCCGCACTGTCAAATGCTTTCTCATAATTAAGGAAGTTGGTGTATAGTGACGGGTTACATTCAATTTATTGTTTAACGATGATCCGTAGTGTCGTGAATCGGTCTATGCAAGACCGATGTTTACGGAATCCATTCTGAATAAAATGTAAATGCACTCTTAGAACATATTGCATTTTGTACTACTAAAGTGTTTGTTAGTAGTTTGTTATGTTTCCGAAAAGTAATATCGATGGCTTTTCAATAATAATGTCCAACTTATGTGCTTTAAACAATGACGGGGTCGACTTGGTAAAAATTCAAGGAGGCCATGAAACTACACAACTGATACTACCACTTACGGAGTGTGCTTCTGGGATTCGAAAGACGCGCCAAGAGTTCGTTTCGTCTGATATAAGGATGGAGATTGTCCCATCTGAACTAGCACATGCTAGCATTAGTCCATAAGAATGAGGAGCCCAACAAACGCAATTGACTATTAAATAAAAAACAAACGGTGGATGACTCTGGAGAACAAGACTAAGAGCTGTAGAGTTAACCAAATGCAAATGTTCTGAAGTTAAGTCATTTATCTGTAACACAAAAATCTGACGACTGAGTTTATTTGCATGAATTTAACACAATTACTGTCAGAGTGTCTACAATAACTTACCTTATCTCTACAAAAACTAAGTGTTTTCAAAATACCTAATTAGTCAAGACCTTTAGTAAATACCAAAAAAAACTACTTAAGATTATTATGTTCTTTACTAATTTGATTCCGGGGGAGTTATTCGTATATGGAATTATTTTTTTTGACTTGCATTTAAGTCTTTGAAGAGAATTTTCGCTCACATTATTACCTTCCTACTTGTTTTCAGTAAAAGTAGCTAAGAGTTCCAGGAATCAGTGAGTCAGATTTGTTGATGATTAGTGCTCATTTAAAATAATTTACCATCCATTTTATGTTAACTTAAGGGAAAAGTTTGTTTGAAGGGAAAAATTTACTACTGCAGTGTCCATACATGATTATCAATTTATTAACCCGCTTGAAGTTAGTGGATGCATTATTAAAAATATATTAAGCGTACATTAAAAGCAAGTGTGACTTGCGCGGCGCTACAAACATAGGATTAAATTATTCTAAATCAACTTTCAAAATAATATATAAGTGATGATTTTGAATTTTGTGGTGATTAATCGGATTTAAATTGTAAGAAAACTCTGAAAAGGACAATTATAAAGTGACATAGTTTGCAAAATATCGTAGACGGTACAGAATCTTAAGTTCAACAAATAATCGAAAGTAAGTGATTGGAATGTTTATAGCCAAGATAATATAAGAAATTATGCATACTTGTGTTAGCCAAAATATGACGAGGGCTGTTATGTAAAAAAAAACCTGACATCCCATCACGAAATTTTTGGATAAAACACCTATGACTATGTTAGTTTTAGGATCTTCGAGATCACTAACATATTGACTTCTTCATACAGACAGAAAAAGTTTACTAGGTTCAAAAGGAGTAATGGCGAACACGTGGGATTATATGTATGAAAAAGTATTTTGAATCACCTTTCCAAACCATCGGTCTTCATGGGCTTGTATGGGAAACAGTTATTGCTTAAACAATCGAAAACACTGAATTGTCAACTTACTGATGGCTTAAAATATACTACAATTGTGATACTAGGCATCTCATACTGGTACACGATTATATATAGTTTCAAAGTATTGTGGTTATATCTAACCTGAACTAGCATGTTCAGCATATTCAAAGACTTTTCCCCATCGTCCATTGATTTCTTGCCAGATAATCACCTTACGATCATAACCGCAAGAGGCCAATAAACTCCCATACATAGGATGGGACCAACTTAAACTCCAAACAGGTCCTTGATGACTACATGAAAATGATTAGTAAATAAAACAGATGATTTTATGTGTATGAAACACTTCTAGACAACCAAAAATTAATTTACATTAAAAATTTTGAAGTGGAAATTATATCATGTATAAATGTGGCAAAGAAATTGTAAACAACCAGACCAAATTAAAAAATGCCATTGATTAAGAAAAAAAACTTTAACTGTATACGAGTGACCACACGGAATCGCGTATTTTGTGTATGGATGACCTGGTGTCATGTAAGTCACTGACAGATACAGTGTTGAAGATGCGGTCGGTTTATGAAAGAATATTTTTATCAGGATTACTCTTGACTTTTAAATATTAAAGCTTAGTGCTTCAAAAGCTGGGCTTCCTTACAGGCCTCCGCGTTGTTAGCTTAGGCATGATGGTAGTCACTGGCTGAGGGATAAAACAGTCTGATCGACATTGCTCAGGACACAAACCAGATGAAATGTTCCACAAAAAATCCCGCCAATACTCACAGGCGCCTTTGGATGTTACTAACTAACGTGCTGCCAACTTAAGAGGTTACTACACTGAAATCAGACTTCTTGATCTTAGTGTCTTGAATCAGTTAGAATGCTCCCAAATGTCTTGATACGGCCAAGGGTGTAGAAAGCAAGTTCTCTCTCTCCCTAAATGCTCTCACCTAGTCACGCGTATACAGCCACTGTCAGGGAAGTCCTAATCACAGCCTTCTCGCAGCAGGGATGTTGTTTACGAAATTGAGAAGACGAAAGGCGAATGTACTATGTTTGAAGATATTATGAGATCACCTGAATCAGCGAACGGAACCAAGGATCTTGAGATGGTGGAGAAGATTTGAAGCTCAGGTGGATGATTTTGGTGGAGTTTTGTTCTCTGAGCTGGATCCAGCTCAGAGAACAAAACTCCACCAAGAACGAAGGATCAGTAACACTACGACGAGACAAGCTCAACTATGCTGATGGGTTCCAGGCCTGCTAACTAAACAGAGAAGACCAGGTTAGGACGAGAGAAAGGTATATTTCAAAAGCTGCCAGAAGCCCGAACAAATCAAGCATACAACTTAAGTATATATATATATATATATATATATATATATTTGTAATTTTATTTTTTACATTTGAATTTCCCGTCTTCGCGCCGATAGCGCACTTTTTTACCTTCAGATTGTATTTCTCACTTGAAAAGAAATACAATCTGAAGGTAAAAAAGTGCGCTATCGGCGCGAAGACGGGAAATTCAAATGTAAAAAATAAAATTACAAAAATAAGGCATTTAACAAGTGATTTCTGGGGATCTTGCATCTCTAAGAGAATGTCCGGTGCTTTAACAGCGTAAGTGGATACGGAGGATTCACATAGGGAAGGTAGAAAACCCTGCATTCAAACTAATGGTGCACATCAGCTCCAGGATCCGAGGAAACAACAACTGTTGTTGACAACCGGTCACCATGGTACTGCATCTTCTAACGTTGCTCCTCCAGGTCAAAGGCTCGAGGATTGACTACTTAATAACACCATCTATTTCGGTTCGGGCACCCGGGCAGTATTCTAGCCCTAACATAAAACGAATGCTTCCACGGTGTGGGCAACCGGGAAGTGGTAACCGCCATAATACCTCTAACAGCACTCAAGACCACTGTATTCATAATCAACCTCCGTCTTCACTTCCTATTATTCCTCCTACATCGACTTTCACCTCTAAACTTTCTTTTCCGGCTTCTTCCTCAAGTGTCACCATAGCCAACGATTCTAGTGCTAAAAACACTGTCCCAAGTCTACTGAAACCTTGCTCCAAACTACACATTGGAGTTTTCAACGTACGCACTCTATGTCAAAACGGTCAACAGGCTTTCTTGGCTAAAACCCTAGAACCTCGTACCATTGATGTATGCTGTGTTTCTGAAACACGCATCCAGGATCCCAGTGTGGCAGGAGTAGGGATAGCACTAAGCATGAGGGCGGAACAAGCACTATTAGAGTGGATCCCCGTCAACAGTCGTCTATATGCTGTTCGGCTAAACGGCTCCGTAAGAACTCGGAAGGATAGGGACACACGTCGTTGCCTTTTTGTCGTTTCTGCCTACGCTCCCACTGACTGCAGCTCAGATGAAGTGAAAGATGAATTTTACAGAAAGCTTTCTGAGCTTCTTCAGAAAGCTAAACGCTCAGACATAGTACTCGTAGCAGGTGACTTTAATGACCAGATAGGTAGTTTAAACCAAACAGAAAGGCATTTAGGTGGGTATTTTAGTATTCCGGCACAACGAACAGATAATAGTGATCGTGTGCGGCAACTATGCTCAGACAATCGTTTATTTTTAGCAAACACAAATTTTAAACATAAGGAGAGACATCGTTTAACATGGCGACCCCCTACATCAAACCAACGATGGACTCAAATAGAACATATTGCTATCAGTCATCATTGGAGAGGGTCGGTAGAAGATTGTCGTTCATTCTGGAGTACTTGCTTGGACTCCGACCACTAGACGCAAAAAAGCCACACTAAAAAGACCCGTTAGAACTGAGTTGAGTAACGAGAAAACCAAAAGTATGTTAAGCCCCCAAATGCCCTGGTACGGCTGAGAGTGGGGAGAGTCCGCTCTCTCTCTCGAAATACTCTCACACGGCCACGCGTATATAGCCTCTGCCAGGGAAGTCCTACTCACTGCCTTCTCGTGGCGGGGGTGTTGTTTACGAAAATGAGAGGACGAAATGCGAATGTCCGGCGCTTTAACCGGATTCCAAACCAATGGTGCACATGGGCACCAGTATCCTGCGGGAACAAATGGCGAATGAACCAATTGTTGGTCACCGGCTTCCATGGGACTGCATCTCCTCACGATGCTCCACTGCCTTGTGGATCAGACCTGCAGGTCGAAGGCTCGGGGAGTGGCCCCCTAAGAAAACCACCTGCTCCGGTTTGGGCACCCGGGCAGTATCACAGCCCTCACACATATCGAATGAGATTTGTGTGGCGCATATGTATTTGGTGCCTCTTTGTACCATTATCTATGTGTTGAAATAAATTAATAAATAATAAAGTATGTTAAAGGAACAATTGAGGTCACACTTAGGTAGTTCTGAAAACGAGGTTGACCCAGATGTTGCTTGGAAAGCTATACAAACAGCTGTGGGAACAGCAGTGACATCTATCAGTGATTTAAACCACAGGGTTACAAAGAACCAATGGATTTCCTCAAGGTCTATTGCACTGATGGATTCTCGTAAACTCATCCCATCAGGCTCTGAACAGTCAGTCAGTCAGTATCAACGTAGAACTTCGTACGTACGTACATCAGGTCGAGATGCCACACCACATTAGCACAGAGATGCAGTGGTCAATTCAAATCCCGTAGTGGTAGAAGTAATAAGAGTATAAGCAGTAATCGGGAAGATTAGTGTTTGGAGATGTTATTTGAAGAGTATAATACAGTGAAATAAATTTGGGGAGAGAAAAAAAAGAGACAAGGAGGAATAAGGAGATCAAAATTTGGGAGAACATAAAGAGTGGATACACCTGCGCCATTGCAAACGATTTCGAGCCATGTCATTCAGGGTCTCTAACCATCGGTTTCTATCATCTCGCGGTCCCCAGCCAGGTAGTCTATACCTACCGACATGACTCAGACCACTTGTCAGGCTCTGAACATGATGAAGAGCGACAACAAATCAGATCTAGGTTAAGAAAAAGTCTAAGAAACGACCGTGAGAAGTGGTGGGCAACGAAAGCAAAAGAGATGGAAAAGGCAGCGACTATAGGGAACACAAGACAGCTTTACAGACTAATAAAATAAAGTGCAATTAATAAGTCAAGTGTAAGTGAGATTATATCGGAAAAAGACGATACACTCATCTGCTCCCAGTCCAGGCGTTTAGAACGATGGGCGGAACACTTTAAGGAGCAGTTCAGCTGGCCTTCAGCTACTCTACAACTACCCTCCATTCCCAGACTGTGAATGGAACATTGAAGTAGGTCCCCCAACTCTAGCAGAAGTTCAAAAGGCTATAGATAATCTGAAACGAGGAAGGGCAGCTGGTCCAGATGGACTGACTCCAGAAGTCTTTAAGGATGGTGATCCAATTTTAGCGATTAGGTTGACTAATATTTTAGCTAAGATCTGGGAGTTAGACGTTATTCCATCAAGTGGTGTCCGTCAAGGTTGTCCACTTTCTCCATTTTTGTTTAACTTCATCATAGACCTACTGATGGAAATAACATTTTCGTCTACTGGATTCTCGGGTATTGATCTCCTTCCAGGAGGTTCACTTATCGACTTGGAATACGCAGATGATACAGTCCTGTTTGGTGAAGACGCTGACAAAATGCAGAGTCTTCTGGTAGCACTGAGCAACAATGCCAGGATGTTTGGAATGCGCTTCTCTCCCTGTAAATGCAAGTTGTTGCTTCAGGACTGGTCTGCGTTAACACCTGAACTAAGGATAGGGAGTGAAGTAGTCGAACGCGTTGACAACTTCACTTATCTTGGAAGTCTGATCAGCCCTAATGGGTTGGTATCGGACGAAATCTCAGCACGTATTCGAAAAGCTCGCTTGGCTTTTGCCAACTTACGTCACCTATGGCGAAGGCGAGGTATCCGTCTGTCAATAAAGGACGAGTATACTGCGCGGCAGTCCGTTCTGTTTTAATTTACGGTAGCGAAACATGGCCTTTAAGAGTAGAAGACACTCGTAAGCTACTAGTATTTGACCACAGATGCCTTAGAAATATTGATAGCATCTGCTGGGATCACCGGGTAAGTAATAGTGAGGTTAAACGCAAGGTATTAGAAAATAATAGTAAATCAGTTGATGAGGTTGTGAATCTCCATCGACTGAGATGGTTGGGCCACGTGTTATGTATGCCTGAACACCGAATACTACGACGCGCAATGCTGATTAGTGTTGGGGATGGTTGGAAGAAAGTTGATGGCGGCCAAACCAAAACGTGGCATCAGTGCCTGAAGTCACTAACATGTGGTCTGAGCCATTTTGTTAGATACAGACTACTTGGTTGGGGTCCGCGTGACTATCGTAACCAATGGTTGGAGACTCTTGGTGACATGGCTCAGAATCGATCACAATGGCGTCGGTGCATACACTCTCTGTCTTCCCTTAAAGTAAGATATTAAAATCGCTTCATATCTTTCGTTCTACGTACTAAATCTTTCTTCCTGTACTATGACCCTATATGGAATCTTTCTTTTATATATTACCACCTCTGAATTAACTACTTTTATGAATCCAGTGTCCATCATGTTGCGTTAATGAGGTATGGCAACTTGGACCGATACATATATGTGCTTGGTCCTACGTTGTAGCTGACTGATAAAACGAATGATTTGTGTGGTGCATATATATTTCGTGCCTCCTTGTACCAATGTTTATGTGTTTAAATAATAAAAAAACAAAGATAAATAAAGTTGGAGCATTTTCTGGTAGTTCTGTTCAACCCATTACCACGTGCTGAAAACCAGGCATCTCAGTTCTCGCGCACGTTTTGTGCGATCTGACATAAGAATCTACATGTACTGTTAAACGGGAGATCACCATTTCTCGACAAGTTGTAAAGAACCGACGTAAACCCAGCCCTTAAAAGTATGAGCGAAATGGTAATAAAAACCAAAATGGGTCAAAACAATGTAAAATAAACTTATATGTATTAGTGACTGCATCGCTTAAGTAAGTAGCTAAGCAGAGGGAATATAGTAGTTTCCTAATGATTATAATGACATTTTTTTACGAGCTGAAATACTGCCCAAGAAACCGAACCAAAGCACCTAAGATAGATAAGTTTCAGAAGTCTACAACCACGTGACTAGGAACATTTGTTATCACGACTTACAAGATGAAATTTATCCATCTTCTAGATAAGATTCCCGAAAATATAAAATAAGGAAGTTAACAAATACTTTGGGATGGTCGTAATATCTCTAATCATGTTGAAATACATTCAAAAGTTTATGGTAATATCAACTCAAAATCGCTTAAAACATACTCTCGTAAGTGAGCGATAAGAACTTGTTTCTTGTTACGGACATCAAATATTTTAACTGAATGATCAGACGAAGCTGTTGCTAGAGTTGTTCCATAGTAGTCCAACTGAGCATCATGCTAAGAATTCGACAGTATTTGAAATATGAAAAAACTTACTATCATATCTTCATGGTTAGTATCAATAGTTTGAATGCCAGAAACCTAAATCAATAGTTGAATGAAAACAATTATCTGAGAAAGGTAAGATTTTGTGATAGAATGTCAAAATAAATTTGATGTGCAATATACGTACGTATATAAGACTTATAATGCTACAGTTGGCTAACATCGAAGTCAATTTGCTGGTTTCAGTCTAAAAGCCTATAAAAGTATGTACTCATCTTCATTTTGAATTAACTTCAAAGGATTTAGGAACTTTATATTCACAACTAAGCCCCCAAATGCCCTGATATGGCCGAGAGTGGGGAGAGTCCGCTCTCCCTCTCGAAATGCCCTCACATGGCCACGCGTATATAGTCTCTGCCAGGGAAGTTCTACTCACGGCCTTCTCGTGGCGGTGTTGTTTACGAAAACGAGAAGACGAAAAGCGAATGTCCGGCGCTTCAACCGGATTCCCAAACAATGGTGCACATGGGCTCCAGTATCCTGAGGGAACAAATGGCGTATGAACCAATCATTGGTTACCGGCTACCATAGGACTGCATCTCCTCATGATGCTCCACTGCTTTGTGGATCAGACCTTCAGGTCGAAGGCTCGGGGAGTGGCAACCTAAGAAAACTACCTGCTTCGGTTTGGGCACCTGGGCAGTATCACAGTCCCGACACATGTCGAATGAGATTTGTGTGGCGCATATGTATTTGGTGCCTCTTTGTACCAATATCTATGTGTTAAAATAAATAAATAGGTTAGATATTTAGAAACCGAACAAAAACACATACTGGAACAAATGGACTCCCTATTTTCAATCATATCCACATAACGTGAACTTGAAGCGGTCGTTAAAGGAACAAATCTCATTTATTAAGAATAGATTTACATACATAAATCTCCAAAAAATACAGTCATTATTGAGAAAAAGCAAGCAAACCAGATGAGTTGTCGTAAGACAGAGACAGGAAAAAGACGAGAAACTCCAGGAGACAATTGGACTTCTTTGCTAATTTTAGTGCCAACTACATAAAGGAGATTTATGGACTCACACTATTAAGATCGGCTTATTGGACTACATAAACGTTGAGGAATACGTAGTAGAATTAGGTTATGGTAAGTAGACGAGACAGATCACTTTTAGTTTAATATTATTCGATTTTATTTATTATGGGTACAGGAAATTAACACTAAATAAACTGCCTTGGAAGATAAGTTTTGGACGACTATGTGTAGGACGAATATCCGGGGCAATATATGATCATCTACCCACTCCGTCACCATTAAAATAATTTCTAGAGTTTTTCGCCTTAAATATTGGAGTCAAATAGGGACTATATTGCACTGAAACTCTTACCATAGCTTAAAATAAAACAAACACGTCACGAAGTAGCGCAGCTCTCGCTATTACCGCTTTCAATCACAAATCCTCAGTCTTGAGTAGTCTTCAGTCTTCAGTAATAAGGATAGTAGGTTGATGAACCTGTATTAATCCTGACACACTGCTTTCCAGTGAAGGTTCAGCTTTTCCTTGAAAGTATTCACTGATGGGGCTGATACCACTTGTTCGGGTAAGGCGTTCCAATCATTGACTATTCGATGAGAAAAACGGGACCCCACTTTAAGTTTATTAGATCTTGGTTTATGAACCTTCTTGCTATGACCGCGCAGATTATTAGTGCTGGAGGGAGCAATAAGATAAGACATATTAACACCCAAATTATAATTAAAGATACGAAATGCCAGTATAAGATACGACAAGGGGAAAAGATTTAGGCGTTTTAAGGGAGTCTAGAAAGACCCTTCACTAATCCCGTTCCCACACACACCCAAGGGAGTTAGTATCCCTTACCAGACACGGGCTATCTGCTTGGATACAGTACACTAGGTGTGGTCTTAGATAGGTGGGATATAAAATTCGAAACGTTTCCTTATCAAAAGATTTGAACGCTCGACGAAGTGACCATAACGCACAAAAACCTTTGACAGCGTCTGCTTTGCAATGTGTAGTTGTTTTTAAATCATGACTTAATACTACTCCTAAGTCTTTATGCTCTTGAACGCATGGAGGAGGTTTACCCTCAGTAGCGTAACGGTCACTATTACCGTGACCGATGTGCATTGGTACACTCTTCCTATTATTGAATTCCAAGCCCCACTCTCGAGCCCATCTAACTAAATCGTCTAAGTCGGCTTGAAGATCCAGATGATCAACCGCACGTTTTATTGTTCTCCAGAAAATTCCTATCCACTCATGTACAGTGCCTATTATTCCGAAGCTCGTGAGCTTCTGCATAAGACCTACGTGTGAAACCTTGTCAAATGCTTTGCTAAAATCTATGAATCTATGAACATAGTAGTTCAGTTGACCTGTGTTAATCCTTACAGCTTGTCTTTCAGTTCACATTTTCAATGAAAAAGTTAACTGATGTGGCTGTTAACTGTGATTCGGGCTAGGCACTCGATGACAAAAACGAAATCACACTCAAAGTTTATTAGATTGCAATTTTGAAGCCTTAAGATGATGCTTTGAAGATCACTAGTGCTAAGAGGAGCACAAAGGTCAAATATCCTAACACCAAAATGGTTATTAAAGATATACCGTTGATAGCATACTGGCAACTAATACCGTACTCGATATGGGTGATCGCACTTTTCTCGGAATTAATGTGTAAACTCGAAATACTTGACTAATTAGCTAATTTGTCTAGATCAGCTTCGCAACCAAGATGAAGAACATTACTATTCATAGTTCTCTAACTTCACACTAACTGCAAACAATAGTGTCGACGACTCAAGAATTCGCGGTAATTCATTGACGAAGGGTAAAACTAGGGGACTTAAAATATAATCTTGGAGTACACTGCTTTTCTATTCAGAAAGTGTTGTGTTTACACTCACTCTCCGTCTTCGGCTACAGAGGAAGTTTCTAACTGACTTATATTTTCGAGCAACTCAACTACCATCCTGGTTAGATTGAAAGGTTGGTAGTTAAACACAATCTTTACCTTTCCATATTTAAATATAGGGTTAAAATAGCATGTTTCCAGTCCCTAAGGGTTTGATTGTGAGAAAATGATATATTGAGGAGCATCGCGAGTGGCCCTTGAATGATGTCCACAATCAGGGACTCGGTGTCTTACTAGTTCTGAGGTCAGTGATCATTTGAATAACAGCGTCCTCAGTCACATGTACAGGTCCTATAGCTGGAACCTCAGTAATATGATCATAGGCTGGTAACAATACCCGTAGTGTAGACTTCGAGGAAATAGTTTGATAAGGTCCCAGGTTTGACCACATCTAATCTAGCGAGCAAATCTAAATTTTCGTGCAATAGTAATGGGGTTTAATCGACAAAAACAATCTTCTAGGCAGGTACGGTTATCATGTGCTAACTGTCTTTCGAAATCAGTACGGCATCTGGCAATTGTCTCTCTACATATATCTCTGATCTTTTGGCATTCGCACCCAAAGGATTCGTGGCCCGTTGATATGAATGAGTCACATAATTGTTTCCTAGGCCAGAGCTTTCGGGTCTGTTTGTCGATCCATGGAGGGCAATGTAATGGCCTACGTGTTGACTTCGGGATGTACAATGGTGTTACAGACTCGAATATGGCTTTGAATTTATTCCATTAATATTCGACCGATCCATCTGCATCGGCCGACCAGTCTGTTGACACAGCACAGTTTACGATGGCGGGAAAGTTAGAGTGCTGGACATGGGAACGGAGTGGAGCAGACATACGCTGTAAACCATGTCCAAAACCTAAGAAGTACGGTGTGATTACTATTTGCCAGTAGGAGGAGGTGCTGAACGTCAACGACATTGCAACAGTGGTGTTTAAACACAACTTCCAGCAATAAAAGTTCATGCTCCAAATCAATGTGTCGATTTCGCGATTTCGCACAAGTACATACAGAATAGTGGTTGATAGCAGGTTGCTATCAAATCATTCACAAGGAGTTATAAACCGCATTTAGTTGATACGCGACGCAGTGAAATGAGACAGCACTTGGTATTACTCCAAGAACGGATAAGGCGGCATCAGGCGACACCTAGGTACCTGTCATTTCGAGATAATTTGTAACTGAATTTCAAATCTTTATGAGCAATATCTGTAAGACGTTATATTTACCGCTTGAAGGTATTTATGATCGCAATCCGATTCGGAAGATTTAAAATCTGAGGACGTTTAGTTTACTTGAGGAGAATGAGGATAGTATGATCGCCTATCCTGTATGATGTTTGGTCAAATTCTCATGAAGCGACAAATTTATGGACTGAGTTTTCCCAACGTGGTAGTCACATTACTCTGCTTTCATAGCACAATTCGATAATACATAGAACCACATCACATAAATAACTACATTTTATCACGATACAATGTGAATGGGGAATGAACAGTAACGACTGTCCGCTATGTGTGCAAGTCTCAAGAAGTGTGTTGATCAATCCAAACTAGCCATCTTCGACCTTCACAATATCAAGCACAATAATCGTTATTCTCTTATGTAGAAAAAGTCTAGCTTAATATATTATATTAAAGATAAGTGATATGTTGCTGGCCCTAAAAGTCTAAAACCCCTTTAATTGAGTTACGTGGATTCATAGAAATGAGCAAGCAAGTCCACATATAGATAAGAAATTTTCCCCTCGCATGCATGCGCTACATGCAAATACAAAACACATAACGACGGCAACACACTCCAAAGGACACATAGAGATATGGATGTGACCATTCTAGCATGCAGTTTAGAGGCTTTTTACATTGAATGAATATCAAGCACTTAAACCGATACGCAAATAAGTCGTCATATACGATGTGCTCACTTCACATTCACACCACAAATAGTTTGAGTTCCGACCACTGTGCGCTGGTTACAGTGCGGTTTGTGGTTAACACTCTGACTTGCCCCTATCAGAATTAAAGGCATCAAAATGAAATTTTCTGCCGCACCACAATCACGCTATCAATTCAAAGTTAATTTTTTTATTCCTGTTAATCAGAATTAGGATAGTGTGGCCAATAAACCCAAACTTTACCGCTTTGTGCAGAGCGGGCGGTCAGTTTGGACTCTGTTGTGCCGCCTACGTCAGTTGATGTGAAGGTGATCACCTACTATCCAGGGAGCACTATGCGGAAGTACAAATCGGACTTTTCCCCAATGAATCTGCTTACATTTAATAAAGCAGGTACTCTACAATCGTCCTTTAGACGACCTTTTTCATCTCAGAAGGAGAAGGTACCTGGTAATCTCAAAGACTACTTCCCGTAACTGAAAAATTCATGGAATCCATAACTATACAACTGATTCCAGAACTCTTCAAACCTCATTCGAAAGCCCAATTGATACCCACATTAAGGGTAGCTAAGATGTAATCACTGAAAAAATTGCTCGTCTTTTGTTTTATTACACAAATCTAACAATCACACCAATCAGGAAACAACACGCTATCCAAAAAATATGAATCAATTTAATTTGCCTCAAAGTTTAGCAAACAACTATTACAGAGGAATCATGCATGAAATACAAAAAGTATGAAATTAACTACCGGTTAACAACAGCAAATATTCCTTTAAAAAAAAGAAAAGCATCCCAGTATCAGTGATAAAAAGAACAATCAGGCCATACAGTAAAATTGTGAAGTACACAAGTCCAAAATAGATGCGCTAAAAGTCAATTAAAGCAGAGAGGAAACATTTGTTCAAAGAATCAACTACATAATAATATATAGGCGCCAGAATTAGTGCAGACAAATGATATATGAACCTAATATAGATAAATATGGAGGGAGATAAATGAAGTATTTCATGCATAGGGAAAAGAAGGAATGTTGTTATATAGAACGCAGGCATGTGGGATTTACATACAAATATGTATGAGGTTGCTGCTCCCATATATCTGTGAGTTCACATGCGATAATAATTTCTGAACCTAAATAATGAGACCCGATAATCACGGTTTTGCAGCTGAAGTACATAATCAAGACTCTGTAGCGTGGCGTCAAGTCGAGGTTGACTATGATCACCACTACAAGATGAGCGCGTACCAGAAAATCAGAAGGCGAAAGGAGATTGCAACCAGATTTATTCGTTGGCAATCTCGTGGTATCGAAAGTATACCAAGATCGTGCCAAAGAAAATACAAGCGTAATCAATGGGCGAACGTGCGAGCGTACAAGGTCACAGTCAACGGAGAATAATGGTGGAGTAGTGGATGTCTTTAGTATAGTTAAACAAACGAACACAGTAAAACAATCAATGGTAAAACTGGTTATGATAATAATTGTTTTCATTAAGCTAATCGCGTTCTCTTAATAAAAGTGGGTCACAACAGGAGCCCCCCGCTAGAAAGGGTTTACACTTTCGATAAATAGCGGTTTGGAATCGTGGGACTGGTCGGGTGACGAGCGATTGTAGGACGGAAGGATTGGCAGAACAGGAAATCGATCGTTGATCGTCGAGTTGTCAGCGAAGGTTTTTTTCGTAAAACAGTACCAGGGGCGGTGTGCTTTATTTGTTGCTCGAGTTGGCATACCACACCGGAGTGATTTGTATTCAGAATCTGAAGATTGCTTTCGTAGGTGTCTGGATCAGGAAACGCTGAAAACGTAGGACAAAACCACGTTGAGCCGAGGAACCAGAAGCGATCACAACGACCAAGTTCGAGACCAAATATATGCCAAACATTCGAAACTAAAATATCAACTGAGTGCGTTAACAAGAGCGTGGGTGGCTAGTCCAGCTTTCGCCAAAGTTGACTGAAGTTGATGGTACCAAACGGGGAGGAGCGTGGGCAATGAAACTGTTAAACTAAACATTTGATGCTAAGTGGTAGGCGGTAGTGCGTTGCGTTCCGTACCAAGCAGCCGGGTCAGTTAGAAGAATAATGCGGACTCGAATTGTTGTCCTCGATCAGTCTTTGCAGTCGAGGGACAACCATACAGCGCTATCCATCGTCCTACGAAGCGATGAGCAAATGTCTCCACCGTAATAGACGTGATAGGAATAGCTCCGGCCCATCTTGTAAAACGATCGATGCACGTGAGTATGTGATCAAAGCCGTGCGATGGTGGCAGTTGTCCCACAATGTCTATATGGACGTGATGAAAGTGAGCATCAGGTGTAGCGAACGTGCCAATGGGGGAAACTACGTGCCTGTGCACTTTTGATCGTTGACATTGTAAGAATTGCTTTACCCACATACGGACATCTTTATTCATGGACGGCCAGACGTATCGTGCTGCGATGAGGCGTAATGCAGCTGAGAAACCTGGATGAGACAATCCATGCAGGGCATCAAATACGAGACGACGGTAAGCAGAGGGTACGATGGATCGGAGAAGATCGGCAGAAGTATCACATATGATAGTACCTGAGCCAGTAGCTAGGGGTACTTCCTGGCATTGAATGGATGTAGATTGTGGTGCTTCTGTACAAAAAGGATCGTTTGCTTGAGCGGTAGCCATAGCAGGAAGGTCGAGCAATGTTGAAGTAACTGCATTCACTTGGATACGTGACAGAGCATCAGCAACGTAGTTCGACTCGCTTTTAATATAACGAAAGTCAGTCGTGAACTGGGAGATATAGTCCAAATGTCTGCATCCTCGAGGTGAGTAACGGTCAGATTTGGTTTGCAGAGTATACGTTAAAGGATTATGGTGGGTGAATAAGATGAAGTCGCAACCTTCTACGGCGTGTCAGAAATGTTTGATGGCACAGTAGGCTGATAGCAGTTCTCAGCCAAAAACGCCATATCTCATCTCCATAGGAGTGAGGCGTCGCTAGAAAAATTCGAGAGGTTGACAACTACTGGAGATGTTCTGTTGCATAACGGCTCCGATGTATCAACCGCTATACTAACCGTGGCTGATGGGTCAGGATGAGCGAGGAGTGTGACTTGAGCTAGAGCCGTTTTGATCTCTGAAAATGCAGTACGTGCGGCATCATTCAATTCCAATTTGCGTGGGTTACCGCGAAGTAAGTCGGTTAATGGTCGTAACCGTTCTGCCGCATATGGGATGTAGAAGTTAACCAAACCGAGAAATGCCTTCAGTTTCTTGAGTGAGGACGGCACGTTGTACTCCATTATTGCACGTACTTTGTCCTCACAGGGTAAAATGCCCTCTTGCTTGATGGTGTGACCTAGGAACATTATTTATGATTTGCCCAGTTCACACTTGTCCGGGTTGACTACTATTCCATTATCCGAAAGACATTGAAATAATAATGTAAGATGTTGATAATGTTCATATACATTTGATGATGCGATTAACAGGTCATCAATATAGACGTGAACAAAATCTAAGTCTCGTACTATGCTATCGATAAACCTTTGGAAAGTTTGAGCAGCATTCCGTAATGCAAATGGCATTCGTAGGAACTCAAACAGACCAAAAGGAGTCGTGACAGCGGTTTTCTCAATATCTTCAAGAGCGACTGGGATCTGATGATATGCTCGTACCAGATCGATCTTAGAAAATATAGTCGTGCCTTTGAGCAATGCCGTGATGTCGTGTATGTGGGGGATGGGATAGCTATCAAAGCGTGCAACTACGTTTAATGCTCGGTAGTCACCGCATGGTCTCCAGCCGACCCCATCCTTTTTGCGCACCATATGAAGAGGTGAGGCCCAGGGACTGTGGGGACAAGTAATACCAGTAGCTAGTAAATTGGCAAGCCCACGTTTGGGGAAAGCTAATTTGTCCGGTGCCAGTCGGCGTGGTCTTACCGTGACTGGGGGCCTGCGGGTGACTATGTGGTGTACCACACAACCAGTCACCGATGGAATCTCCTCGAATGGTTTGGTTAATTTGGGAGATTTCTCAAATAAAGCGTGGAATTTATCGTCACGTGAACAAAAGGTGCCCAGGATTCCGTACGCGTTTTTGTGAGCTTTGCATCCCATGAAACCGCTGTTCGACGAAGTATCGATTAGCTGCAGCTGACTAGCGATTCGTAGTGCTGTTGAAAATCAGTACCTAGTATGTCTGTGGGAACATCGGCAATGATGAACGTCCACAGATACCGTCGTCGTTCTCTCAGGTTGACCGGGAGTTATCGTCTACCGTAGGTAGGAATGGCTGAGCCATTCACAACGCGTAGTCGAGGCCTTGTGACTTGCTGTTACCAAGGGGTACGACAGAAACGTGTGTCCCAGTGTCCACTAGGTACCTAGCGCTTGTGCGATAATCGTGCACATAGAATAAACGGCTAACCTGGGGTCAAGGGCCGGCGAGTACGACCGCTTATACTCGCCGGCCTTAAAGTTTCCCGTCTTATGTGAGTACGAGGCTCGACAACGGCGGGCACCACACCCGAAGGATCGGCGGAACGAGCGCCAACCTCCACTCACTTCGGAAACCGCCTTTCGGCTTGGCTTGGAAGATGTCCTCGTTCGGCGAGTGGTGACGTCTTTTTGGGGGCGTGAACGGGCTCGAGGGACGCGTGGCTCGGTTGCCCTGCAACAATCTCGGAAACTAATACGTGTGTGAATAGAAGCACCCCTATCACCTTGAGCCAAGGAGTGACTAGCGTCTGCATCTGTGTTCATACGTGCCGCTGAGGCTACAATGTAGTGGTCTTCGTTGCTAGTCCTCGCCAGTATTTTGTCTGCTGAGGGCCACCTAATGGAGTGGTGAGTCCTCGAGCACGGCCGTAACTGCTGGTTGGATATGTGCCGGTAATGATCCGAGTCACAATTCTTTAACAATTTGGGAGTCGGCTGCCGTAGGTCCTGCAAGGGATTGCAGGCGCGTGAGGTGGTGGCTAGGCTTAGCATCACCCAGAGGGTGACGTGCTAATAATGTCCGCAATCGTTCCTCCACCGATGGTGGGGAATGTCTGATGATCGCCTCTTTGAGACGATCATAAACGTTAGGTACATTGGGGTTGAGAACAAACTCACTGACTGCCACTAAATAATCCAAAGGTAGTGGTGATTCAAGAGTGTAGGCATATTTTTGCCTTTGGCTCGTAATGTGGCGGGTCTCTAGTGCGGCAAACCAAGCTTTTCGGTCGTGGGAAATGAAGGATACAGGTCGAAACTGTACAACCTGTACATCTGAGTCCATTACATAAATACTATCCTTATCGTTAGGTCACTACAATATAATATCCATGTGATAGTGCCAGGTCTGATAACGAAGATGATTCTTCTAAACATAAATGTCTAAGATTTGGATACATACTGAAGTATACCCCATCAAAATTATGAGGAACCTGATCAATGTACCATTGGAGTGTAGTCAAGGTCAAGTCTGTTCCGTACATACCAGGCTTACCTAAGTCATCTAGTACCAGACTTCAGTAATTACTACTGCGAAGCCGTTCTAATACAGGATCAACAACTGAGTGGATCTAACTGTCTATAATTGTAACTTCAGTACACGTAACCCCATAAATTATTTCTCGTCTGCGAAATCCCCAAGACCTGACTTCCGAAATCGCCAATCAGTTCACTGTAGCATCTTCTGTATACTTTTTCGTCCTCTCCCAATGACATACTACGCTTTATATTGTTTTTTCCTGCCCCCAATCATTAATTTACAGATTTCCTTAGACCGAAAGCAGAATCATATGAAGTGGTTAACTAAAGAATCTAAAATCAGACATGGTCGATCTTTATCCGTAAGTATTTACCCCTCAAGTGTATCCACTCCTTATGTTTAATAAACGATGGAATCCTTGATTTCGTGACGAGTTTACAAGTGCAACACAAATAGTATTAAGGGGTAGCAACTCAGGATTTCTTTGAAACTGAACAATGGTATTGATCGAGAACAGTATTCTAACTAAATAATGGGGACGGAACACCTACTTTAAAGAGTATTGAGATATTTAGTGGTTAATAGATATCAACTTGTCAAGTCTTTGTTTATTTGAATATGAGTGAAAATAAAGTGTAAACAATCCCATTGGGAAAAAAATATAATTCGGAACAACAGTATGGATTTGTAACTCCATGAAATGCAAAATTGGTGTAGAAACAAAAAATTCCATAACCACGAAAGTTTAAATTCATTTGATATTCAACGTCCAATACCAATAAATGTTAAAAATGAGAACAGTGTACATCATCTAAAAACAATTGTAAAATAATCTACATTAATAAGAAAACACATGAGTTGAAAATCTCAAAAGCATGAAAGTGGAATAACTGAAAATCCGCATACTATCCCAGCTACAAGAAAGGCACCAGACCAGTTGATATGTTCAGCCAACAAAGCAAATGGGTAACCAGCCAATATAGCACCAACTGAAATATACAGATAATGAACTTGATTTAAGAAGTAAAGTATTTAATACATTGATGTTGCCCACTGATAAATGTTAACTTGTAGGATAACGTTAACTGGTGCGTGATAATATATACTTACTTACCGACGCCTGTTACTCCCCGTGAAGGAGCATAGGCCGCTCACCAGCACTCTCCATCCAACTCTGTCCTGGACAATCCTTTCCAGCTCCTTCCAGTTGTTATTCATCATTTTCATATCTGCTTCTACTTCCTGACGTAATGTGTTCTTTGGCCTTCCTCTTCTCCGCTTCCCTTCAGGATTCCAAGTTACGACTTGCCTCGTGATGCAGTTTGATGATTTGCGTAATGTATGTCCTATCCATTTCCATCGTCTTTTCCCAATTCCCTCTTCAGCTGTAAGCTGGTTTGTTCTCTCTTACAAAAGGCTGTTGCTGTTGGTATCCGGCCAATGGATGTTGAGCATCTTGAGTAGACAACTATTTATAAATACTTGTACTTTCTTGATGATGGTCGTTGCAGTTCTCCAAGTTTCAGCTCCGTACATGAGAACTGACTTGACGTCCGTATTGAAGATTCTGACTTTGATGTTGATTGACAGTTGTTTTGAGTTCCATATGTTCTTCAATTGAAGGCATGCAACCCTTGCTTTGCCGATCCTCGCCTTTACGTCTGCATCTGAACCTCCTTGTTCATCGATGATGCTTCCCAGGTATGTGAAGGATTCTACATCTTTCAGAGTTCCGCCATCAAGAGTGATTGGATTGCTGTTCTCCGTGTTGTATTTGAGGACATTGGTTTTCCCCTTGTATATGTTGAGGGCTAGTGATGCAGGGACTCCTGCTACACTGGCTGTCTTTATCTGCATTTGTTCGTGTGTATGCGAAAGGAGGACTAAGTCATCTGCGAAGTCCAAATCGTCTAACGGGTTCTGAGATGTCCATTGTATGCAGTGTTTCCCTTCAGATGTCGGGGTTTTCATAGTCCAGTCGACCACAAGAAGAAAGAGGAAAGGCTAGAGTAGATAGCCTTGTCTGACTCCGGTCTTTACTTCGAATGCGTCTTCCAGCCGTCCTTCATGCACTACTTTGCACTGTAGTCCGTCGTATGAGTTCCGGATAATGTTGACAATTTTTTCAGGAACTCCATAGTGCCGAAGAAGTTTCCATAACATTCTCCTATCTACACTGTCAAATGCCTTTTCATAATCAATGAAGCTGATGTACAGTGTTGAGTTCCACTCAATTGATTGTTCGACGATGATCCGTGGTGTCACAATTTGATCTGTGCATGATCGGTCCCTAAAGAATCCAGCTTGCTGATCTCGAAGTTGGGCATCTACTGCGTCTTTCATTCGGTTCAGCAACACTCTGTTAAAGACTTTCCCTGGTATTGACAGTAGTGTAATGCCTCTGTAGTTTTCAAATTTGCTCAGATCTCCTTTCTTTGGAATCTTGATGAGGTGTCCTTCTTTCCGGTTCATCGGCACTTGTTCCTCCTCCCAAATCGTTTTGAATTGAAGGTGAAGCATGTTTGTAGTTACTTCGATGTCTGACTTCAGTGCTTCAGCTGCTTTGCAGCTCATGGTTTGTCTGATGATGGTCATTCTAATTCCTTCCGTCGTTGATGCGTTGACATCTTTAGGAAGATCTGTGTATGCTGCTTCGATGTCCGGTGGATTCTTTGGAGCCGGCCTATTCAGGAGTTCCTCGAAGTACTCTACCCATCTGTTCCGCTGTTGTTGAATTTCAGTGATTTGTTTGCCATTTTTGTCTTTGACCGGTCTCTCTGGTTTACTATATTTCCCTGCCAGTTTCTTCGTTGCATCGTGAAGCTGTTTCATGTTTCCTTCTCTTGCAGCTTTTTCCGCCATCGTTGCTAGTTCTTCCACGTATTTCTGCTTGTCGGCTTTAATGCTCTTCTTCACTTACTTGTTTGCTTCTATGTACTCAGCTTGTGCTTGAACTTTCTCTGCTCGTGTTCGGCTGTTGTTAATTGCTGCCTTTTTGTTCTTCCTTTCTTTGATCTTGTCCAGTGTTTCTATGGAGATCCATTCCTTATGATGGTGCTTCTTGAGACCTAGAACCTCTTGACACGTTGAAGTTAATGCTTCGTTAATGCTTTTCCAGTTGTCCTCCATACTAGTTTCTTCTTCTTTCAGTAGATCCTGTAAGGCTTGGAACCTGTTGTTGAGAGCTATCTTGAACCTTTGTAGTGCTGTTTATCCAATTGTCCAGTTCTTCTTTAGCTTCAGTTTTAAATTGGCCACAACTAGGTGGTGATCTGAAGCTATGTCAGCTCCTCACCCGGTTCTCACATCTTCCATTGTCCTTCGGAACCTTTTATTGATGCAAATATGATCTATCCGGTTTTCTGTGTGGTCAGGTCAGATCCATGTAGCTTTGTGCATACGTTTGTGTGGAAATATTGTGCCCCCTATGACCGATTTGTTGATTGCACACAGATTTGCAAATCTTTCCCCATTTTCTTTTCTCTCTCCCAGTCAATCCATGTCGTCCCATGATATCTTCATATCCGGTGTTGTCTATTCCTACTTTTGCGTTTAGATCTCCCATCAGAATGGTGAGGTCGTTTTTCGGGCACTTCTCTCTGAATGATTGCGGCCTCTCATAGAATTGATCTTTAGTGTCGTCCTTACTATCATTGGTGGGTGCATAACTGTTGGGATATTCAGAAAAATATCCCAGAAATTATTCTGTTAAGTCTTACGCTATCCTTGGACTTGAGATGGTGTCATTTCCTTATTGGTCATTGTTTATTTCACGTGTCATTTTCCTACTGGTCAATATTGTACAATGTTATTTTCTATTTTATCGTACGATGTGGTCTGTTTGACTGGTATATAAACAAAGTATGTTTGAAATATGATGATTCCTATCTCAGAGGCTGTGACTTGCATTCTGGACTCAACTGGCTGGGCTAGACAGGGAAGCGGGACCAATCAGAACCCTAGGCTGTTCTACGTGTTTGCGCGTCTTTGGTCCGATCGATAAATTCGCTACCCTCTAGTCTGCTGCCATCTCACAGCTACAGCAATAACATTAGACAACATTCATTGTGATCTCCTGGTTCTTTGGTTTGAATGATGCTTTGATGATTTTGGATCCGTGAGATTTCCATCCTACATTTTTGTGCATTTTGTGCTACATTGGACAGCATTAGGGCAACTTTCTGAGTGTGTGGAGCACCTTCCTCTTCGTGACCAGAGTATAGCAGCATCTCCCCCATATTTAGCCTTTGTTGTCCAACTTGGGTCCAATGGGTTTCGCTGATTCCCAGTACTGCCAAGTTGTATCTTCTCATTTCCGTTGCTATTTGACTGGTCTTTCCGGTCTCCCACATTGATGGCGGAACTCTGAAAGATGTAGAATCCTTCACATACCTGGAAAGCATCATCGATGAACAAGGAGGTTCAGATGCAGACGTAAAGGCGAGGATCGGCAAAGCAAGGGTTGCATGCCTTCAATTGAAGAACATATGGAACTCAAAACAACTGTCAATCAACATCAAAGTCAGAATCTTCAATACGGACGTCAAGTCAGTTCTAATGTACGAAGCCGAACCTTGGAGAACTACCACAACCATCACCAAAAATGCATAAGTATTTATAAACAATTGTCTACACAAGATACTCAATGCCCGTTAGTCGGATACCATCAGCAACATTCTACTGTGGAAGAGAACAAATCAGCTTTCATATGAAGAGGAAATTAGGAAAAGATGATGACGGTGTATAGGACATACATTGAGGAAACCATCAAACTGGATCACGAGGCAAGCGCTAACTTGAAATCCTGAAGGGAAACAGAAAAGTGGAAGATCAAAGAACACATTGTGCCGGGAACTGGAAGCAGATATGAAAAGGACAAACAGCAACTGGAAAGGATTGTCCAAAACAGAGTTCGATGGAAAATGCTGGTGGGTGGCCTATGCTTCTACACAAGGAGTAACAGTCGCAAGTAGGTAAGGAATTTGCTCATGTGATTGAACAGCAAATTAAGATTAAAACCCTAGTGTAATTAGTGATTCGAGGTGATTTTTAGTACTGTTAAAAGTGTGTGGATGGTTGTCAGTTCCTAGTTGCCTACAGAGTAAACATAATTACTAAAGTGAAATAATTATTTTCAAGTCGATCATATTTGAAACAGAACAAAACTATTTCAGGTGATTTTGAATTTTAAAAGATTTTGTTAGAGAAACCAACATAGTTTCTATTGATTCTCGTACTTTCCAGAGGCCAATAAATAACCAAAAAAAGAATGGGCATTAGAATAATTGTAAAAGCGTTTAACATCCAGCTGAAGGGTTGCTGATTGGATTCGCGATTAACCTAATTCAGTCTAAGTGATTAGATTCAAAACTAAAGATTCATTTTTTTCTTGACCTGCATGCTTGATTCACATCTAAAAAAGTTATTCAGAAATAATCACTCACAATTCGCAATCAAAGCACTCAACGCATGTGCAGTACCGCTAAATGCAGGTGGAGCAAGTTCAACAGCTAAAACACCACATAAAGCAATTGTCCCGATAACAGTGATACCAAGTACCAAGCTGATAATGAGGAGTATAGTCTAAAGTGAAAAGGTTAAAAAGAAAATCCAATCAGATTATCCAATGGTTTTCATAAGTGAATAAACTTTGATAAATATGTTCATAAATGCCGTAAACTGTTCGATTCGAGCGATCTTCTGCTGACCTTGGGCTCACTGATGGGTAACCTTAACGGGAATTCCCGTAGTTGTAAAGGATAGTTGTAATTAACGTAATTGAATCATATCGTGAGTGAGATGTGTATCACTGATGACAATGGATGATGGCCGCGCAATATCATGAATTGATTGAAATTAGAAATATGAATAATCAGACGTCAACTCAGTGATCTGAAAGGCTTCCAGAGTGAAACCTACAGCTCAATTCTTGAATGGGAACGGGTGCGCATCGCTGGTGAGTACCATGGTAGGACGATCAGTGGTTATCGGATAAATTTTGACAGTGATTTACACTAAGAATTGTTCTTGAGTTTCGTACTCCTATTATTACTGTATAAAAGAAGTTAAGAATTTTATATCAGTAATTTTAGTCATGCAGTTTGGAAGAGATATTAGATACGTTTTGAAATATTCCCCTTTACGTTTTTAAATATGATCCTACTTTAGACAGGATTATAAAATGAGATCAAATGTAACTTGAGATGCACAGCTCATGATCACTAACCATTTCACTAATCACTACAATTTCATAAACCGTAACTAGTAGAACATATATATGATCTTAAACTATAAAACATTGTCAAAGATTAAAGATTTCTAAAAGAAAAACATATCTAAAACTTGAATTATTTTACTCTTGTTTAGAATATGTAGAGGAAGAATCTCATCATGATTAATAAGAATCTATAAGTCGAATAACGAAAACAGATAAGTGTAATTGATAAATTTTTTGTATCAAGTCCTACAATTATGAAGATAATAATAGAGATTAATTGTGAAATGGTACTGAAAATAACACACTAATTTATATTATTTAGCAAATAGCCACTAAATAATTTTTAGAGATTCCAATTTTAAAAAGATGTGTGAAGATAACAATCGTATTTTCCAACAATATTGAAATTATTTTAAGAATTGTATAATACAATTTTGTAGACCATTCATCATCATCATCATCATTAGTCGATGAAAATGAGATCAGACTATCAAGTTGTCATACTTATAGACTGAGTATCGAGTTATCATCCATGGCTAACTAACAAAAAGTGAATTGATGACTTTGTGCTTAAAGCAAACGACTGTCAGTAATTGAATTGTAGGTTCAAGCATTGCTTAAAAAACTGGTTGGTACAATATGGATTCATATAAAATGTCTCTATTAGAAATGAGCACAACGTATAACTCAGAAATTTAGTTATAATTATCAATACAGGCAGTTTGAAACACTGATTTTGAAAATTAAATAGATAAATTAAATAACTGGTTAATTAATATTGACTACTGACAGTTTGATGCACTCAAATTAAATTATTAGTCGGATATTTAAAAATGACATATATTACACTGTACATTTTGATATGTGTTTGGTGCAAGTAAAAATTTTCATCTCTTACGTTGTATTTTTCTTTGAATCTAGCCACATTAGTTTTGTTCTGTTGTAGTAAGTAGTAAATAGCTGTTTACTCGGGAGTTACAACAGCTAGTCATACCATACTGTAGTGAACGAGAACACCAGTGGGTACAAGCAAATATATTTGAACACAAAATTACAGAATTTCTCAATAAAATCTGAGAACAATACAGTGAATACTTCATTTGCAAAATTTTAATCAATTAACTTAGACTTGGTTGTTCCTTCGTTTATACGCCAATCATTCTCTGCTCCCATTCTCTTCTTCTCGATCTTTTTAACCTTCTGCCACCAGGCATTTCACTTTCAATTGGCGACACATACAACTTATATCTGTCGAAGTCAGTAGCGCACAACACAATACCAGTAGCCGTGTCCATATTTTGTCCATATCGTGGATTGAGTGAAGTTAGACATTAACACCGTCAGATCCTGACTCAATGGTCTAGAAGTTAAGCGTTCGCGCGCAAGATCAAAGGTCTCGGGTTCAACTCCCACGTGAGGAGTCGTAGAAGCGGATTGCTGAGGATTCCAATGCTAGAGCGAAACGACGGTCCATTGATTTCTGGTTTTTAATGGTGGTTTAACATCGATCAGTTCATGATTTCAGTGAAACTCAATAATCTACACAACCCCATATCGATAATTTTGACAAGTCCTAACAGTACTTAAAGTCAAATACATGAATGAAACTGAACTTGGTGAATTATGCATGATACTTTTCTATACCGCAAACATGAATATCAGAAAAAGAAACAAAAAAAATTAAACTTGCACTTACTAAAGAAGCATTATGATTGGTAATCCAACTTAGACAACATAATGTACCACTTGCAATTAACATTTGTATAATTATTAATGGAATCCGACGACTAGGCCATGAAAAAACTCTCTAAGGTCAAAATACAATACAATATGTGAATTAATAACGTGATAAACATACTAAAGAACAAAAATCAACTAAGGAATTCAATGTTGAATTTAATATGATTGACACATTACACTTAATAAATTTTCAATAAAATTATACACATATTTTATTATTTCAAATTTTGTCCAAAATGGTCATTCGGAAGTAACCTAGAAACCTCATCTTTTCGGAAAGTATAAACTTAAATTTATTATTATTGTTATCTAGTTATTTGTGTCAATCTGATTGTGCCTGTAATTGACTACCTTTCTTTACTAGTCTTTGGAACATGTGATTATCATCATATAATTAAACATAATAAAATAAGCAATCATTATCAACATATCAATTCACAAAACGTTTAGAGAGAACAGGAGTTGATTAATTGCTTAGCGAAAAGATAATACATATAGATTTTCAATACGAAGTGATTTTGCAACAGAAGTTATATTGTAGAATAAAAATAAGAGAACGATGATAGTGACTGACAATTTTTCGAGTGGCATTACACGATTGATTGAATAAGAGTTCAGAATATTGTCATCTGACTTACATAACATGTATCGGTCTTATTTGATTAAAATCAGAGAGGAGTTTTGTGGATATTATAGTAAGTTTAATAGTTAAATTCATGAGTTAATTGGAACTAGACCACCATGGAAAACCTGGAAGAACTAGACGGCCGTCTCGTCCTAGTGTGGGACTCCTAACCAGTGATTAACTTTATGTGGTAATGTGAAACACATGATATCATCATTTTCTACGAAATGTGATGCAGAAAGAAGTGTGATTATGCTAGATATGAAAATAATTCGTTAAGTCATTGGTTATTGATTCATTTGACAAAGCTTAGAATGCCTAACCAGGACTGATGAGATCAAACAAGTATAAGCTTAAAATGGCTCATAATCAGTTAGTGGGGCAAAAGAGAAGTCTTAAATATCTTCTATAATTTTCAGCCTATTTATTCTAATAGAGACAGAAAAACTGTTTAAGTCAACTTGAAAATACATGGTACATATACTATCGAGAGAATGGTGAACTTTCAAATCATTTTATTTGTATTCATGTGATAGTGTAGGATGAAAAAATGCACATGACATAACAGAGCTATAGTGAGCACTAATATAAGTGCTACAAGGAAAAAAATGTCCATAACTAAAATCCAATCCACATTTAAACATTGATTACAACGTAAACCACTTATTATGACAGAAAGTATAGACTGTATTAGTTAGGAACTAACGAATATTATTTTGAAATGTCTCAGTCTTTTTTACTGATGGTAAATGCATATGTACAGAGTGCAGGAATAACTAACTGAACAATGGAGTCGACTATATTTAAGGTTTCCCAAGATAATTCAACAGGTATAACCTTAGCAGTTGCCAACTGTTTTACTTATAAAGGAGAACAGTTATGAGAAACAACAAGTGTCCCGTTTTATAAAATCTAATTTATGTTGAGATGTATTACAGTAGTTAAGGTCACAATCACAGACTAGTGATCAAGAAGATTTATTGTATTAAGTCACACCTCTAAAGGAAGCAAAAAATGTGAAAGGTAGTAATAATATGCTTAAGACAGAAAGTACTGATTTTAGATAACTGTTTACTTTTTTTGAAATTATATTCACACACCTCAATTTAACATAGCTTTGTTGGGATAAAGGGTCCAGGAATTCTGGGGTCTTGAATTTCCCTTTTAATACATGCAACAGATACTTATTTTCATTTAACGATAACACTATGAAAGTAATACTTATTCACAATTGATTGATCACTGGGTGGTGATCAATGTCACGTGTGCCAAGTCCTTCTTACTGCAGATCGAATGCTATCGACCAAGTTGCAATGTGGCCACTAGTCTAGGTGGCTCGAAATTGCTTAAGTCAAACGAAATGTATTTAAGAAAGATAGAGATAGTTCTTCAGTAAATAGATCCAATGACTTGGAAATATTTTACATAAACCATTCTAGTGTATGTTGTCAGTGAAACAACATGAGAGCTGAAAAACAATCAATTTATGACGTAATCATTTAATAAAAGATATCTATGTATCGGATGAGCACACGTTGCTGCATATAAAAGTCCTCGATGAGGTTGTAAATATCATGTTACTGAGTTGGTTTATCAGAAACAATCAGAAATTAAAGCTAGTATGTGACTTAGACGTGATATTATTTGGGTTCAGATAGGAACAGGGGTAATAAGAATAGGGAAATTTTTTGAAGAGATCTTATGTAACAGCTTCTACTGGTCCTAATTGTTTTATAATTCTTCATGTTAATATCGTACATAGTTCCTTACTATAGTGAGGAATAATTGAAACAAAACAACTTAATTTCAATTAGTAAAAATAAAGATTCAACGAAGAAAGTTTTCTTTTCGACAAAATCATTTATTAAAGTTATACACTCGTATTTATATATTTATCAAATAACTATTACTACGAATGTACAACTTAAGTAAAGATTTCATGGGAAGGAATGTGAAGTTTTGAATCTTAGTTCAACTCTGAAAAGATGAAACCTATTTTTTACAATGAGATAAATAACTTGAGAATCATTATCAGTTATAAATTCACTTGGTATTGTTTACTTGAATCTTCCCAATGATGTTTAGGACTTCAATTGACCAGTCTCTTATTGGCATATATGCATACTGTGCGCATTGTCCCGTTATTGACTTAATTCACAAGCATTATAAGCAAGGACGAATAGTGGCTAGCAGTGGAATCCACGACGCGCTTCTCATCCTATGTGGGACTCGTCAGCTGGATGTGCCTGTACCTCAGAGTCTATGTTCACTCTGGGACTCGCAATACGCGAGTGGCTATCAGGACTCAGTAGCTAACTGGACAATGCAATGGTGTTTGAAGTGAACAGTACCGGGTTCGAGTTCCAGAGTGAACATCAACTCTGAAATGCAGGTACACCCAGCTGACAAGTCCCAAATAGGAAGAAACGGGCGTCATGGACCCTACTGCTAGTCACTATCCATCTTTGCTCATTATCAGTTATGATAAATTACTTGTGTCGACGTAATAGTTATGAATGGAAAAGCTTAAAATGACTTTGCGTATTGTGCAAATAGCGTAACTATTAGTAGTTCACTGAACTATGAATATAGGTGAAAGCGTTTATTTTTCCTAACCTGCTTTTTTCTGGTATTTCATTTCGTTGCAAATAAACAATTGTAGAACTAATTTTAACCATTTCTGGCATTGATTTTAACTCAATTTATTATCAGCTGAGAGTTCATGATGTTAATTTTTGGCATTAACATATATATCTGCATAAATATTGAAAAAAATTACCAAAACTAATGACGGATAGCCTATCCTAAGACCAGTTATATTTTGTGTTAATTTGATTGAAGTTACTTCAATGTTGAGAAATACGATTGAAAATACTTTGAAAGTGTATAGGTTGTGAGAATATAAGTACAGGTGTTTTTCAAGTATTGGTTGAATGTGGTGGAACCACTAAATGAGTGTTATTGAGATTAAATTGAGGGTAATATAAGCACATATTGTAAACTGATAAATCGAATTGTGAAGCTTTAATGAATGAAGTGATTAGGATGTATATCGTATACGTAGTCCCTATGGTCTACTTCAGCACTATGTTATCTAGAGAAGGGATAGATTAAAAAAGGCTATAGTCGACCAGACTAAAATATGACATCAACTGAGGAAGTCATTGACTGTTGGTATGAGTTGTGTAGAAAAGTGCTGGCTTTCCAGTTGACGTCTAATGAAACAACTATAACTAGTAGTTGGAAACTTTAAGCGACATCACTTCACAGTCAGATAGATATTTCAGTTTCCTCTAAATTCTGATATTATTTTGGATTTATTAGTTTCTTTTGAAGCGTATTTCACTGTACAATTCTAGGAAAGAAACTAAAAGACAATTTAAATATTTAGACACCCCTTACAAACTAATGTATTACCCACTGTCATCCTACCAATTTTATTGATATTGTATGCTTGATTAACAGTTTATATTGAATCGATTTGATGTCATAATCGATAACATTCATCGTTTAATAAAAACGAATTGAGGTTAATCCGTATCAGAAGGGGTTTTGTGGAGATTGCAGTGATTTCAATAGTTGTGATCATGAGTCAATTGAAACTAGACCACCATGGAAAACCTGGAAGCACTGGACAGTCCTTTCGTCCTACTGTGAGATTCCTCAGTAGTGGGCACCCACAACCTCACCTCACTGGATTCGAACCCGGAACCAATCAGTCTCGCGTGCAAGCGCTTAACCACTAGATGTATATCCTGGAGTTCTAGTGAGAAGCGGTGACCAGTGCAGTTCAACCGGGTCAGTTGAGACATAGTAACTCATTGATGACAATAGTGGATGTGTCGCTCAATCTTCTGGGGTAGTTGAAGTTAGACATTAACACCGTTGGATGCCGGCTCAGTGGCCTAGTGGTTAAGCACTCACGTGCGAGACTGATAGGTTCAGGGCTCAAATGCCGCGACGCGGGGTCGTGAATGAGCACTACTGAGGAGTCCCACGCTAGGACGAAACGGCCGTTCAATGCTTCCAGGTTTTCCATGTTGGTCTAGCTTCAACTGACTCATGATTTCAAATATTAACGTTAATCCATTTGAAAAAATGAGATTAGTCTCTCTTTGAATATCCATATATTAAATATCTGCTTTTTTAAGTCAGTCAAATTCATTTATTCTTATTTATTTGAACACATAAATATCGGTAGAAAGCGGAGTCAAATACATATAAGCCATACATTAACAATGAGGCAAAGAAGAGATGGAGAATGTAAAGTGTGTATAATAAAGCAAAAAAACAACGAACAGAAATTAATAGATACGAGTGAAATAATAATAATAATAATAATAATAATAATAATAATAATAATAATAATAATAATAATAATAATAATAATAATGAAAGATGCAGTTCAGTTAGCAAAAGTAAAACCAGGAAAAATTCTTTCAGTTAAAGAACATACATTAATCTTTAATGAATAAAGTGAAAGAAAGTAACAGCAGGATCGATGCATGCTTCTATTCTGAATTATAAATGATAACATATCAATCCACTGTGTGGCACCATCTATAGGACCACAAGCAAGGAGTCGTGAAGGACAGAAGAAATCCTGTACAGCTACAATCCATACCACGACATCACGTCATAAACGGAACACGTACCCGTATATTCCAACTAGCCCCAGCGTCAGCAAATAATGCGTGACGTGGAATTCTCTGGGGCGACATTCATAAAATACATATCCAAGCCACTGAAGTCGATTTTTCAAGATAGTGACACTAATTGAATTATCGCCGCTGTGCCCGAACACACGATTTCGAACTTCTGTATTAATAACATAATGTTGCCACTGGATGTGAGCAACCCTTAGGAGATAACGATGACCAAACACACAGTCGTCCAACATCCTCAACTCGGAGAGGTCAGGTTTCACAAGCATAGAGCAAAACTGCTCTTACCGACGCGTTGTAGATCCGACCTTTTACAGCCGGACTAACATCACGAAGGCGCCGAAGATGGCCCATTGTACGTGAATTTATTTCATCATTCACACTATCAACAGCACGTACTCAGCTACCTAGATACAAGGACTTCTCAACTACTTGTATCCGCTCACTATCCAGGGTGAGTGCAGGATTATGGTCCTGCCAGTTTTGTGAAAGTACTTTGCATTTCGAAGGTGCAAAGCACATACCTTACCTACGGATACTGATTGCCAACTGATTAAGTGCGGATTGCATGGCTTGGGTATCATCACACAGTAAAATAGTATCATCCGCATACTCAATGTCGAAACGTTTTTCTCCAGGCAACAGATCTGCACCATCATTACCTACATCTGTCAGAGCTATTCCCAGAACGTCATCAATGGCAAAGTTGAAGAGCAATGGTGAGATTGAGCAACCCCACTGCTTGAATGAAACAGTGGAAAGAGATGGTTGTATGCCCTTATTCTGCCTGGGGTATTTGTATATAGGGCTTTTAAGATATTAATAAACTTCTCAGGTACATCCTACTTCAATAGACAATACCAGTGAACCAACTTGCACCTCTCGAAACAATCTTTCTTGGATTTTGATCAATCTACGAAGTATGACGGAATCCAACAGTTTGGACGCAATCGAAAGTGGACGTATCCCCCGACAGTTGTTACAGAAACGACATGAACCCTTTTTAAGGATAATAACAACTATCGACTCATTCCATGATGTTGGTGGAACACTCCCTAATTGCCAGACCTTTCTAAAGAACTTAGTTAGTTTCGTAACCGGAAAGTCACCACCATCTTTACAAAGGACCGAAGCTAAGTCATCTGAGCCTGGTGAATTGTAGCGCCTCAAGATTCGGAGTTCCTTGCGGACTTCTGCCTCGTTAGGTGGGTCAGTCGTCACAGGTCATGGAGAGCAGGACAGTGATCGATGTTGCCTGAGGAGCAGAACAGTTGAACTGCTATTCGTTCAAGACATCGGTTGGTGTTAATAATTGGCATCTCGTCATCTCCATAAATTGTTTCGCTCACACCAAACTTCTCGCTGCCGGTGACTCGGATGAGTTGAAAGAGCTCTCAGCAGTTACCGGATGCAACTGCTGTTTCCAACTCAGTGGCACGCTCCGACCACCAGGCTTCTCGGTCCCTACGCAAACTTTGCACAATCACATTACGTAACAGTCCTCGTTTATGATCAAACTCACAGCCATCCGGAGTAGACTGACGTGCTTCAATGATTTGTAATGATCCTGTAGAAACCCTGTGCCTATAAGTGGGACGTTTCGCGGAGCCGCATGCAACTTTACTCGCCATTTTTATGATGTCATGCAAGTGCAATCAACGCTCATCTATAATTTTCGGTGGATGGTAGCTAGCCTTGAACCCAGTTCGCTTTGACATTTATTTGCAATAGAAGTTGCAACCAATTTGCTGATATCGATCCGTTTGGAACGATAAATTTGTTGGCCGCTAAAACGTAAGATGAAATTGACGTAAACAAGGGCATGATCAGAGTCCAGATAGATACTCCACAAGGAGTGGCAGTCTTGTAGGTAATCTACATGTGATCAATGTGAGTTCAGGTTTGAGATGCAGAAAGAGGACGTCAGGTGACGCATGGGCGATGACTGTAGTGGTAGGTAGTGCGAGCCGGAAACAGGTTGTAGTCTGCACAAAGTTTTGGTAGGTGGTCACCGTTATCCAACAATGAAATGAGTCTATCAATTAATGGAAAACCCGATAAAATTGAAAAGACAATTTTTACATAACCCAAACAAACACTTAAGACTAAAAAACATCCTACTGTGAACCGTATTACTATCAAATATATTCTAACTTAGTTGTCTTAACAAACAGTAATCATAAAAAGCATGGGCCAGAATAATGAAAACAACATCCATCTATACACCAAGCAAACAATTTGATTGTAACTTACAGAAAACACATTCAAATCAGCTACTATTCCAACTAACATAGACCCAAATATTCCACCGAATTCGTAACTACTGGCAACTAAATAAGCTGAAATGAATAGGTGAAAATATGTGGGTTTTTTTAAAAGAAAGACAGTGGTAGAAATTTCTGAACTAATACACGATTTCTTAAAATGAAATTTATATTGACTACTTTCCTTAAATGAGTAAACTAAACATCATCCGAAATATATTCACTTTATAATTTAGTAACATCTATGAAACAGTATTTGGTGAATTGTAGACTTATGTGATTTGTTTGAGAACTTTATAAACGTTTGCTTATAATTAACATCATCAACTGGATATACAACATTAAAATTAAGTATAGGTTCATGATACTAGGCAGTGAATCATCACTCTTGTATGGAAACGAGAGGATTCAGAGGATCAACTAGATGGATTGAAAATGTGACATAATAAATGTAAATTCAACGTCTATACCACGAAACTATAACGCAAGTATATATCATCTAGATATATTCCAAAACATAACCGAACACAGTGAATATAGTTCATGGGTTTCTTACACTAAATTTCGTTAAGAGATTTTGATAAAGTCTAATGAGGGACGAAAATGCATTGATTGCTAATTATAAATCACAATCCAAATAGCTATTGATTGTAAAAAAAAATGCTGGATTAGTCTCGAAATATAATGTACTACACATATATGACAGTTTACCAATATCTTTTTTTGTATTCATATAGTTTTATTATTTTATTTTTTACACCAGTAATTTCTTATTATTCCACTTTATAGGTATAGCTAAGAATTAATTACATTTCCAGTTCTAAAACTGAACTGAAATACTATCAAAATTTGCAGTTGGACATTGAACGAATCTACGCTCGCTGTTAGATCTAAACCACAGTAACCAGTCAATATCATAGACACAACATTACTACTGAGCCATGAAGAAAAAGACTGGCTCCTCTTGGAAGTTTGAGATGTTCACACTAATTTATAAGAAGAGATCAACAGTAAGACTGTTGATTGAATTTAGATAAATTTGGTTACTATTTTAATAAGACATTCGATTGTATTCTGATAACATTTGCTATGTAGTTCACTCGGTTTTAGGTTATAACTGCGTAAATGTAATCAATGATTATCAGGAAGAGAAACAGCAAGTAAGGAGTGATATTTATTCCTTAATATATATTCTTCACAGGTTAGGTATTGCCTTCTTAACAGTTGAGGACAGAGTCATGAGTATTGGGGGAACAGTGTTGAAGAGTAGTTGCAGGTACTCATTAATTGCGGTCACTCTTCTGTAGCAAGGATCAATCTACAACAGCGATATTTAGTCCAATTTATAACACGTTCATTTCTGATCAATCAGTGAAATTTAGATTCCAATCGCTAAGATTATTTCAAATATAATTTTCACATATAATGACTTCTCTGTACTCGGTGCCCAATTTCTGTCAAACTATTCGTCCTAATTTTGACGAATATTCGTATAAAATTAAAAAGTTTATTTTACCAACGTAACATAATTGATGAATGAGACGACAAAAAAATCAAATATGCACAAACCGGTACTTTGTGAGTAACCATGTTTATTATTCAAAAGCATAATTGCAATCCAATCGCCTATTGCATAACGTAAAAATGTACTGCACATGTGAACACTAGCGGAGGTACCCAACAATAAACGTTGTCTTGGGCTTAAAATACGAAACAATTTTGATATTTGATTAATAATATTCACTTTAATGGGTTGAATTGTCACGCCATTATCGTGATTTTCAGTAAAATCTTTATCTTGACAGTTGTTAGATAATCGGCTAGTTTCTAAAATGTAAAAAACTGGATGCTGATAATTTAAAACACGTGAGATAATCAACATAGTGTGATTGTCAAAGAACTTTCAAAATATGATTTACCGGCTCAGTATTTAATTATGAAATTTTTTAGATGGCTCAATAAGTATGAACTGGTCTACTTAGTTTTAAGTTATACTTTCTTATGTGAGAATTTGCGATATGATCTGCTTGCTAGACCAAACTACATAAGGCAAAATTTAAATATGGAAAGGTCACATTTGTCAGTCAAGTGTATTTTAACCACCACTTGGTCAACCGATTCCCGAAAGCGTGAAGTTACGGTTCTATTGTAAATCTATTTATAATTGCTCGTTTATAGAGAAAAAAACAAACGTGAGTGTTGATACTCCTTGGTTAGCTAACTCGAGTCAGATGGAAATGGGTTTGAACCTGTGACTAAGTGGGTGGACCACCAAGCCACTGCTCCAATTAAGGAAATTGATTTTCAATCACTAAATTTTAGGTCCAAATACCTATCTATTTGATTGGCTGTCGGGCCAAAATGTGTGGATTAAAAGTGACCACAAGAAATTGTACTGCGTTGCTGAGTTGGAAAATAAAGAAATCAAGAAATCTTGTATTAAATTAATGCAAGTGGATTTCAAGAAGTAATCAGAGAAATTAGCTTAATGCATATATATGCTTTGATTTTTTAAGCGTTTCTTACCAAAACGAAGCCTGGCAGAGATGCACTTTGGCCCAAGTTTCTACACCCCATTGGGATGACGAGATGAAAATAACAAGAGGAACATCAATGGATTGAATTATAAAGTAGCAATGATAACAAGAAAGACTGAACATTAGAATATGGTTCAAAAGGACAGAGAGGTTAGACATGTACAGGGGTATACTGGAGTTCAAAATCGAGAGGAAGGTGAGGAATGAATGAATCTGCACCATTTTGGGAAATTCTGAACTGTCACCATAAGTCTCCCACTACTGATAGCGCTTAACGCTGGAATAAGGTATAGGGGCTTAACATAATAACCGACACTACAAGTGTTCAGAGCTAGTTAATAATAGTAATAAACGTGTTCATTTGATGTACATAATATAGTTTGATTTGCTTTCGATTGATTGAAATGTTAAACTAAAACTTTAAGGTAAACGGAATAAATGCTTATTAATAATCGAATCATAGATTTATACTAAAAATCAAGCACTTCAATACCACTAACAAAGTAGCATGGTTCAGTATCCTAAAACTCTCTTGATTCGCAACAAAGTTGCACTTTATCAATAAGTTAATGTTTCCCATACACAAAATAACAAGTGCACATTTTGTAATTTTTACAAAAGATTTTCTAATCCGTACTCACAAAAATTAAGATCGCTATTTGTCAATTAGTGGATTCCAAATGAACAACTATTCATAACTTACACGAAATTTCTATGATCAAGATTTTTTTTATTATAACAGAAAATTTAAGAGAAATTTTATTGGACTGATTAAAGTAATAACATGATCTCACTTTCATTACAACACTTTTCTTGATTACTTGTATCATAACTGTTTTGACCCAATTTTGAAGTGGACATTAGACTTTGACAAGTATCATCACAGCCTCTGTGTTTTACATCTGAGTTGAGATGCTTCCCAAATAATTGGTTAGATGATGTTATTTCAGAAGGACTAAAATATTTGGTTGGTATAGTTTTAGAATTGACTTTATTAAGAGTATCAATGGTTCGCGAACGCAGATAAATATTGAGAAGTAAAGCTGATATTATGCAACATGCTCCTGTAAAATTAAACAAATTCATAAATTTCAAATAGATGTTAACATATAACAAAGATATCAAGCATTATTATTACATAGAAAAAGTTATATTTTGTCAGTAGACTTTGAAAGCTACTACTGATAGTGTGTAGTGACTTACTTTTATCACAAGAACACGATCGATTTAATGAAAACAATTATTATTATTATAACCAATTGTACCTGTGTTTGTTTTAATGTGCTTTTGTTTAACTGTGCTAATGACAGACATTTTGTGCTACCATTACTCTCCATTACTGTTTCGCGGTTCGTGACCTCCTTCGCACGTACTTTCTCCTGCCCACTCCGCTTGCACCTTTTCTCTTGGCACGACCTCAGTATTCGCTCGATACCGCGAGATCGCCAACGAAATAAACTTGGTTCTAATCCGCATTCGCCTTCTGATTTATTTGACACGTGTTTCTTTGTAGTGGTGTTCATAGTCAACTGGGACTCGACGCCACGCTACAAGTGAATCCAAGAATGTTATTGATTTGATGGTAACTTCCAAAAAACTGATATCAGTTTAGAATTAGTAAAATAAAATAAACGATTGATTTTGATTATATTTCATGCTGAATAGTTTCGATGAAATTAAAACTCGAAGAAATTCAAGTTTTGGAGGACACATCGCTAACTACCAGATGTTTTGAAGAAATTCAATAATTAGCATATTTCAAAGTAACCAGATCAGGAGGTGATAGTTATTCATGAAATTTCTGGTTGGTGATCTAAACATTACGAAGAACTGGATCATTCTCAAACTTTTTCATTTCGATTAAGCTTTTCTGGTTTTGATTAGTGAAAAGTGTTGTAACTTCAATTGATATACTACTATTCGAGAAAATATTTTTTCATGTCTGGTGATCGTACATGTTATCATAATTCTGATTGAAATCACAATGACTTCATTGATCATGTACTTACCGTAACATTGATCGAGCAGGTTATGATTAATGACAATAGAATTAATAATGATAATTTGTAAACATTTAATTTTTTTTTAAAACTGTCTTACTAGGTTAGCTGGTAGGAAAAACATCAAACCACTCAACCCACAACCAGTGAAACGAAGGTTTAAACTTAATTTCGCTTATTTCGACCCCCTTCCCCAGCAAAATATGGGGTTTACAGTAATGTAAGAAACAATTAAGAACTTACTACATTATGATTCCTATATTACGTTGGATGTGTTAAAAATACGATTTACATCAATAGAAAAAAATCACTTCAAATTTGAATTTCATGTTTACAAATGTGCAATTATAAATATGTTGAGGTTCACACATTTGTTGATTTAAATAAAAGATATCAGAAAAAATATTTAAAAAAAGTCTGACAATTAGCTACAACAACTATATAGCTAATATATCGGAGTTTGTCTACATTTAATATCAATACCAGCTAAGAAAAAATATTGAAGATTTAAATTATAATAAAAAACAATGACGAATCTAGATTTTATGTAAAACTGTGTTATACAAATCGAAACCATTGAATGAATGTATTGTTTGGTTTATGATATTGATGTGAAAAATCACTTAAAAATGTGATTTTAGAATTATTCAGCTATTGTATCATGCATCAGTAGATGAATTTGAAATAAAGTTGAATGATCCTTTATTCCTTGAAATATCTGAACTTTTCTATTTATCAACGTTGCTACCAGTTTGTTCCAGAAGATAATATGAAGTCAATATAGTTAAGAAATAATACAAATTATGTATGACTGAAGCTTAAGTCAGATTAATTTTCATATAAGAAGAATGGTAATAAATTTTAGGGATAGTTGTTTTTTAATTAGGCACTAAATACAGTGACAATACAATGTCAAAAATTTTCCTTTAAATAGGAGGTAACAGTTGATGATAAGCACAATATAAAATGAATGCACTGGTCAGTTAAAAGATATGTACTTACCAACAAAAATGAACGGAGCTCTCCATGCTAAATCACCGAGAAATATTGTTGCATACGAAGAAATAACGATAGATATCCAAGAACCCATACAACCAGCTAGGTTAGAAGACGATGATATTAATCCCCACCAAGTGGCTAATTCATGAGAAGCCACAGACTAAAAGTAATTTAAGTAGACTTTGAGAAACAAAATCATATGTACTTTAAATTAAGACTAGGAATTTACGTAATTGATAATACTTCAAGTTAAATAACTGTAAGACAATAGGTTACTGTTAATCAAATATTTATTTCTTTTAATAACTAAGAGATTATTTTCATCGGCGTCGTTTTTCTACGAAACCAAGTAGATTCACCGATAATTTAAAAACGAAGATAGGGACTAAAAAGAGATATTATAAAAGTAAGTTAAATATATACAAATCTAACTGAAAGGCCATTAAAATGCAAAAAATATCTCGTAAATGATATTTAGTGGCCAAAGTTTGATGATGCTCTTTGAATTAGCGGTGATTCAAACATTCTGCTTTCGATCATTGAGTCTCAAGTTTAAATTCAAATCTGTATTATACATTTTAGGGAATGAAGTAGTATCACTGGCTCTTACGTAAACCCTGGCTCAGAGTCAAGTACATACGGCTCCACAATCTAAGTTAGTTAAACTACAGTAATCCTCTTAACTCTGTCTGTAACTGTTCTAGAGTTACTTCAGGTCCCAAACCCGGGTAAAGGATGAGGCTTGGGCATGGAGTTAGGGACCCGATCCCGTAGAAAAATAACTGGCTACAGAAACGCTAACCAGAAAAAAATAATGCAAACCATTTAAACTCTGCCCTGCGAGTAAGAAGGTTTTCATTTAGAACAAATATGACGCCTCATGATGAAAGCCGAGTTCCTTCGGAAGCCACGAGGCCTATGCCCCTTCTAACAACCAGAGAAACAATTTTTATAGGTACATGGAACGTCCGGACAATGTGGGAGACCGGAAAGACCAGTCAAATAGCAACGGAAATGAGAAGATACAACTTGGCAGTACTGGGAATCAGCGAAACCCATTGGACCCAAGTTGGACAACAAAGGCTAAATACGAGAGAGATGCTGCTATACTCCGGTCACGAAGAAGAAAGTGCTCCACACACTCAGGAAGTTGCCCTAATGTTGTCCAATGTAGCACAAAATGCACAAAAATGTAGGATGGAAATCTCACGGATCCAAAATCATCAAAGCATCATTCAAAACAAAGAACGAGGGGATCACAATGAATGTTATCCAATCTTATGCACCCACCAATGATAGTAAGGACGACACTAAAGATCAATTCTATGAGAGGCCGCAATCATTCATAGAGAAGTGCCCAAGAAAGGACCTCACCATTCTGATGGGAGATCTAAACGCAAAAGTAGGAATAGACAACACCGGATATGAAGATATCATGGGACGACATGGATTGACTGGGAGAGAGAAACGAAAATGGGGAAAGATTTGCAAATCTATGTGCATTCAACAAATTGGTCATAGGCGGAACAGTATTTCCACACAAACGTATGCACAAAGCTACATGGATCTCACCTGACCACACCACAGAAAACCGGATAGATCATATTTGCATCAATAAAAGGTTCCGAAGGACAATGGAAGATGTGAGAACCGGGTGAGGAGCTGACATAGCTTCAGATCAACACCTAGTTGTGGCCAATTTAAAACTGAAGGTAAAGAAGAACTGGACAATTGGACAAACAGCACTACAAAGGTTCAATACAGCCTTCCTTCGAGATACTGACAAACTCAATCAATTCAAGATAGCTCTCAACAACAGGTTCCAAGCCTTACAGGATCTACTGAAAGAAGAAGAAACTAGTATGGAGGACAACTAGAAAAGTATCAAAGAAGCATTAACTTCAACGTGTCAAGAGGTTCTGGGCCTCAAGAAGCACCATCATAAGGAATGGATCTCCATAGAAATACTGGACAAGATCAAAGAAAGGAAGAACAAAAAGGCAGCAATTAACAACAGCCGAACACGAGCAGAGAAAGTTCAAGCACAAGCTGAGTACATAGAAGCAAACAAGCAAGTGAAGAAGAGCATTAAAGCCGACAAGCAGAAATACGTGGAAGAACTAGCAACGACGTTGGAAAAAGCTGCAAGAGAAGGAAACATGAAACAGCTTCACGATGCAACGAAGAAACTGGCAGGGAAATATAGTAAACCAGAGAGACCGGTCAAAGAGAAAGAAGGCAAACAAATCACTGAAATTCAACAACAGGAGTACAGATGGGTAGAGTACTTCGAGGAACTCCTGAATAGGCCGGCTCCAAAGAATCCACCGGACATCGAAGCAGCATACACAGATCTTCCTATAGATGTCAACGCATCAACGACGAAAGAAGTCAGAATGACCATCAGACAAATCAAGAGCGGCAAAGCAGCAAAACCCGACAATATACCAGCTGAAGCACTGAAGTCAGACATCGAAGTAACTACAAACATGCTTCACCTTCTATTCAAAACGATTTGCGAGGAGGAACAAGTGCCGATGAACCGGAAAGAAGGACATCTCATCAAGATTCCAAAGAAAGGAGATCTGAGCAAATTTGAAAACTACAGAGGCATTACACTACTGTCAATACCAGGGAAAGTCTTTAACAGAGTGTTGCTGAACCGAATGAAAGACGCAGTAGATGCCCAACTTCGAGATCAACAAGCTGGATTCTTTAGGGACCGATCATGCACAGATCAAATTGTGACACCACGGATCATCGTCGAACAATCAATTGAGTGGAACTCAACACTGTACATCAGCTTCATTGATTATGAAAAGGCATTTGACAGTGTAGATAGGAGAATGTTATGGAAACTTCTTCGGCACTATGGAGTTCCTGAAAAAATTGTCAACATTATCCGGAACTCATACGACGGACTACAGTGCAAAGTAGTGCATGGAGGACGGCTGGAAGACGCATTCGAAGTAAAGACCGGAGTCAGACAAGGCTATCTACTCTAGCCTTTCCTCTTTCTTCTGGTGGTCGATTGGACTATGAAAACCTCGACATCTGAAGGGAAACACTGCATACAATGGACATCTCAGAACCCGTTAGACGATTTGGACTTCGCAGATGACTTAGTCCTCCTTTCGCATACACACGAACAAATGCAGATAAAGACAGCCAGTGTAGCAGGAGTCCCTGCATCACTAGCCCTCAACATACACAAGGGGAAAACCAAGGTCCTCAAATACAACACGGAGAACAGCAATCCAATCACTCTTGATGGCGGAACTCTGAAAGATGTAGAATCCTTCACATACCTGGGAAGCATCATCGATGAACAAGGAGGTTCAGATGCAGACGTAAAGGCGAGGATCGGCAAAGCAAGGGTTGCATGCCTTCAATTGAAGAACATATGGAACTCAAAACAACTGTCAATCAACATCAAAGTCAGAATCTTCAATACGGACGTCAAGTCAGTTCTAATGTACGGAGCTGAAACTTGGAGAACTGCAACGACCATCATCAAGAAAGTACAAGTATTTATAAATAGTTGTCTATTCAAATGCTCAACATCCATTGGCCGGATACCAACAGCAACAGCCTTTTGTAAGAGAGAACAAACCAGCTTACAGCTGAAGAGGGAATTGGGAAAGGACGATGGAAATGGATAGGACATACATTACGCAAATCATCAAACTGCATCACGAGGCAAGTCCTAACTTGGAATCCTGAAGGGAAGCGGAGAAGAGGAAGGCCAAAGAACACATTACGTCAGGAAGTAGAAGCAGATATGAAAATGATGAATAACAACTGGAAGGAGCTGGAAAGGATTGTCCAGGACAGAGTTGGATGGAGAGTGCTGGTGAGCGGCCTATGCTCCTTCATGGGGAGTAACAGGCGTTGGTAAGTAAGTAACAGTAATCCTCTTGGGCTACTAATATCCCGATTGATGGGATATGATTCATACTTATGACTTAATGTTTAGCCCTTGGGCTACTTAACGAAAGAACCGCAGCTTCATGCACATTCACAAAATGATGCGTATATATATTATAGCCTCTGTTCCACTAGCTTGAATGAATGTCCGCTTACTATTAAGAGTTTAATGTGAATAATAGTCTATACCAGTTATGAAGAGAACATAATTCGTAAGTAAAAATATATCCCCTTAAAATAAACGGTACTTTGAGAAAACGAAATTATATTATAAATTAACACATTATTTCTTCTACATGGATTTTATTACTTGAATTAATCTTTCTTATAAAAATGATTTCCTAGTTTTCATTTTTATCTTGAGTTTTAGAAAAAAAAGGTATTCACAGGTAATTATGACTAAGCCATTTCAAAAATTGTCATGTATAAATAATAATTAATAAACAATATAAATAGAATTACAAATTTTGTGTCAACTTACGGTACGAAGTGTCTTTGATATGGCTGGCCAACTAGAACCAAGTGCTAAGCCGATTAATCCATAGGATACTAACCAGACTATTTGATGAGATGAAACTAAAGAAACATGACAGAATTTTTTTCTACTTTTTATAAATTTAATTATATATTCGTTAAATAAATTGATGTAATGCAATACAATACAAAAGGAATTTTACATAGTTTCCGTTTATTTATTTATAAATAATAAACTTTAAAACGACGGGAGATCAGAAAATTTGTTTCAATAAGTACAAGTCAAGCGAGAAAAATATTTACTTACCTGATAGAAGAAACAGTGAACCTGAGGCTGAAATCAGAGAGTAAACAAAAATTCGAAGTGGATTTAAGTGATCCATAAGAATCCCACCAATTAATTTGGTAACTGTATAACCCAAGGTTTGAGCAGTAATTATGGAACCTGGAATAAGATTAAGGAAGTAATATACAACTTATTTCAGAGGTACTGTACACAAAATGTTGATACCATTCGAACTGATCAGATCCTGGGTGTTTATAACAATTTCTAAACGAAAACGAGCACAAAGTTTTAACATTTAGTAATAAGTATCTTATCCTACAAACACTATATCATATCCAAAAGGCTGATAAGCGTAAACACCACTGCTTATGCATTCAGTCAGTCAGTTACAACGTAGGACCAGGCACATATATGCACCGGTCCAAGTTGCCATACCGCATTAGCACAGCAAGATGAACACCGGATTCATAGGAGTAGTTAGGTCAATGGTGGTAATATATAAAAGAAAGATTGTATATAATATAGTACAGGAAGAAAGAATTAGTACGTAGAAAGAAAGATATGAAGCAATTTTAATCTCTTACTTTAAGGGAAGATAGAGTGTATACACCTACTTCATAGTGATCGGTTCTGAATCATTTCACTCAGTCTCTAACCATTGGTTACGATAGTCACGCGGACCCCAACCAAATAGTCTGCATCTACCAACATGGCTCAGACCAGAAGTTAATGACTTCAAGCACTGATGCTTATGCATTATTTATGAACGTATGAACGACAGCTCTAAATAAAAGTTAAAAGAGACTGACAAGAGATTTAATGGAACTGTGATGGATTACAATCACCTTATAATAAAAATAACGCTACAGAATAACACAAAACATGTGACCCACAATTTGCAAGCTAGAAGTTGAGTGGTTACACAACTTAACCAAAACTTTACCTACGCAGTATCAAGAATAATTTACGACATGACTTACCTAAATGAGTATTTGATTTCGTTCCTTTATATTGTACTGGAATTATAGGATATATATTCTGTATGGCTCTCCGAGCTAGCGAAGTGAAGAAGTAACTCCAAAACAATAAGATCAATAACCCAAGCGGTCTTTTAACAGTTGCATTCATGATGCTATAAAACCAATACAATTATTACATTAAAAAAACGGGAATGAATGGGATATTTTGATTATACACCTGAGCTACGAACTTTCTCCACCATCTCAGTGGAATATTAGCCTTTCAACCAGACGGACTAAAAACATGCAAGTTATAAAACTATGCTGTCGAGCATTAGGCTTTAATGATGGACTTCAGCTTATGAATAAACAGTTAGCGTAATTCAGAAACCTTTTGTCAGAAAATTAATAGAACCAAAATGGATAGTGGTTCAGCGTAGCCTATGAATTTCTTAAGACTTATGAGTGTTTTTTTTTATCTTAATGTTGCGAAAACTTCAAATATATGGAATTATTTAGTATATTCCTTAGGATACTTTATAAAACCCTAAGTAATTTTATAGATGACAACTTCCCTGAGCTCCCAATTTTGAGGAAGTTCTCAACGTTTGGGGAAATTTCGGGGTTTTTGTGCCATTTCCCCGAAATTTCCCCAGAATGTGCCAAATTTTCCCCAAAATTGGGAGCTCGGGTAATAGTACTAAAAATCTTCTTAAACGACTTTGCTGAGAAACGACGAAATACTTTCATGAGACAATGATGAGAGGAATTCAAACAAAAAACGCGATTTACTTTAGTATCCAGGATGTTTATTATTCGGTGAATCAGTGAGTTTCCCGAAGTACTTAGAAAAGAAATAGGAACAGAGACTCACTGATTTGTTCTATATACAAACTGGATTAAGAGTAAACTTCTAAATCTTTTCATCTGTACTCAGGTCTTAAGTCGTACTACGTTCTTCCTTCTAAACAAAGATAATGGCTTCGATCCACATCTAGAAGGACGGATTCGAAAAGGCCAGTCTTGATAGTTGCTTAGTCTCTTTGCTGTATAGATTTTAGGTGCAAGTTTCAGAAATAGGAGGTGAACTCTACATAACTGGAAAAGTGTTCTTAAAAGGTGTCCCGTGCTCTTTATTTCTATAACCCGAGAACCATGAGAACACCAGAATTATTTCGGATTTTTCTTATTGGTTCTTATTGAAGAAACAATCTTTCATGGTGTAGGTAGTCAGTAAATTTTTATCACCGACACACCTATAATAAAACTGGAGTTCATTCAGTTATCAACTTTTTCCTATACTCCCAGCATTTTCGAAATATTATTTCTGTTAACACTTTTTCACCAATTTAAGGGTGTTTCGCCGAAAGCTACTTAATCTGGAATGAAAAGTAGTGCATTCAGATTTAACATTTGCAGAGGGTGATCCCAAGTCCTAAACAGAAAAAATAAGTGGGAAACGCAAAATACTCTCAGTTATCCTTAAATTGTAGTTTTACTACAATCGATATTCAAAAAAGCTTATAACAAAACATATGCATGTCTCCTACTTCCAATCGTATCAATGTTTTCATCCATTTGTAGTCCTTTTTATTGGGTTTTTTACGTATGTCCGTATTTGGGATTTCGAACCACTCAAGGAGCTATTCGACATGTTACCTCCCCAGAACTAACACCATATGGTGTTGGAAGGATTTTATCGTCAGCCTTCTACATAGACATGGAAGGGGAAATCATGTCCATCTACGGACCTAAAAGCTCAACTGGCTTAACAGATAAGAAGCCACACCATCTATTAACTTTTGAGCAACAACTCAATAACTGCAGAAGTGGATTGGTAGGAACCAAAGATAGCGGTTCGCCTGTTGTTTTGATAGTTATAAATTATGACAAAGCACACAGAAACTCTCCAGTTTCGGAATGAGATAAAGTACGAAAGTGAACATGAAACCCATCTGCGGCCAAATGCGGGGAGTAAGGTTAAATAAGACGCTATTATAGCGTCCGGATATATATCCGGAAGGAAATGGGTCAAAAGTTGTGTCATCGAAAGTATTAATTCATGTTCTTCATTTCCTCTTATTCACGTTAAGAAATCACTAAAACTACTTCAGTCAACGAAATTTACTTGCGGATGACAAAGTCTGGAGAACAATACGTAGTGATACTGATCATCTTGATCTCCGAGCTGATTTAGACGAGTTAGTTGAATGGTGCCAAAATTTAGGTTTGGAGATGGATGTACCAGCTTTCAAATGTTGCGAGTGTTATGATTATCTTCCCGAAATTTCAGATGCTTTGTTTCAGATTTTATACCCTGCTTATATGAAACATCACCTGGAATATTGTACCCAAGCTTCTAACTTATGCCTTTTTAAGGACGCTAACACATCCGAGTGTTCAATGTGTGGGGACTAAGTTAGTGATGGATTTTTCTGAACTCGCCTATAACAACCGATCAAAGTACCTGAACCTTTCTTCCTGATAGCGGAGTGAGGGTTCATATTACGTTGGCAACTCAACCACATCGATGACCTTGAGGTACATCAGCCAATCAGCCTCAAATGGTTGTGGACGGAATAGAAGCTTTCGCTTAACGGGTTTCGTGTCTAGAAGCAACGGATCACCGAAACCGCTAGGCGGGAACCTAGGTATATTAACGATAATAGAGTAAGAATGTAATTGGTAAATCATAGTAAGATATTATCCTTAGTCCTTAAGAATAGATCAAGTTGACTCTTAAAAGACTCCTGGGAAGTCGCTTGGACTAGCTCAGCTGGCAGCGGATTCCAGCATTTGACAACTCTTAAGGAGTAGAAGTTGTGTCTACAGTCCGTCCTTCTATATTGTTTCTCCAGTTTTTGAGTGTTACCTCTTAGGTGAGTGTTGGAACTAAGCTTTAGTAGATGTTTGAGAGGATGTCCAGAAGTGTTAAGGATACTATAAGCCATCAGAAGGTCACCTCTAAGACGTCTATACTTTGATGGGTAAAGGTTAAGGGATTGAAGGCGCTCTTCGTAAAGTTTAAATTTGAGTCCTCGAACTGGTTTCGTGGCTCGTCGTTGGATACGCTCCAAAGTGACCTTGTCCTTTTGGAGTGAGGGGGGAGTACTATATTTCCGTACTCTAAATGGGGACGGATAAAACTATTGAAGATTGTATGAAAAGTTCTTCCGTCAAACTGGCCAAAAATGCGCTTCAATGTTACCAGTGCAAGGTTTGCTCGGAAGCCATTTTTGTCACGATTAGCGTAAGACTTTAAATCATGGGGCACCAGGACTCCTAAATATTTTTCGACTTGGGATACTACTAGAGAGGAGTTTCCTAAGTTGTAACTGTAGTTTGCGACATGTCGCAGATGGACTACTTTACACTTTGAAGTGTTAAAGGTAAGTCCGTTATCATCTGCCCAACTTTGTAGTCGAGTCAGATCCTTATGAAGTGCCTGTGTATCGTCTTGGTTGCGTATCTCTCTCCAAAGTTTCACGTCGTCAGCAATAAGTAATAAGTCTGACGTTACCTGTTGAGGAAGATCGTTTATGTAGATCAAGAAGAGAAGAGGCCCTAATACTGAGCCCTGAGGGACCCCACTAGGACATTCCATAGCCTGAGATAAAGTGAAATTAACCCTAACCTTAAAGTGTCGATTTTCTAGGTATGCAGTAAGCCAATCGATTAGAGGTGATCTGATATACAATCGTTTGAGCTCACTGATAAGACATATATGATTGACCCTAACAAAATCTTTTGAGAAGTCAAGGTAAATAAAGTCAACCTTCGCCTTGGGATCAAGGATGCTTGTTCATGTGTCCGTCACAGTCAACAGGTTTATTACACAAAATTAACACATCCTAAAACATGTTGTTGGAATGTAAAGAAATGCTAGTATAACAAATAGTCATGTATACTGTAGCGGTAAATAAATCGCTAAAATCAATATCTCTGTAAGTCTTCGACATTTGATGCTAACCGCATTAGTTTCAATGGACTCGCCTAAATGAAGCCGCTCGGTCATGCATCCGCACCAGATCACAAGTGGGAACGCCGTGCTTATTTTCTCTTGCCACCGCTAGCCAGTTTAGATCAGTCACTTCTCGATATATTGATAACCTGTGAAATATATGTTTGAACCTTCTCGCTTCTGACTCTTGATTTCACTGGGTGGGCGCGATTCAATTATAGGTGTTACTGGCTAAGTTATTGTCAAACTGCAAATACTCGTGGCATCTTCAATATCTTCGCATATCGGAGACTCCATAATTTAAGAATGTAAGGAGATGAATCGCTGGTCGGTAGCTTGAGGGTTCTCTGCGTCGACCTCCTTTGAAAATTGGTGTGATGTAAGCCAGCTTCCATATTTCAAGTAGTTTGCCTCGGCCTAGCGAGTGTAAGAACTTCACGCTAAGTGGTGTTGCCAGTATTGAGGCTGCTTCCATCAGTAGAGCAGGATGAGCCATATCCGGGCCAAGGGAAATGTCTTTTCTTGGGTGCTACAGTTTTCGGGACACCAAGTCAGCGCTCAGGTTCATTTCGGAAAGTCCTGCTCAGTTGAAGTTTTCATCAATATGGTTGATGTTGGTCGTTTGAAGTGTCCGAGAGTATTGTTCAGCCAAAAAGTTAGTGGCGTCACCGTAGTTATTGGTCGGGCCATTACGACCTAGCAGTTGGGAAACTCCACTTTTGACTTGTCAAAGAGAGGCTGCATTACGGAATAAGGTTTAAGGATTGGAGACAAATTTATCCATAAGCTTTATCTGGTACCGAAGCCTGTCCTCTCTTATTTCCTTTGTGCATATGTTACTTACATCCCAATCCACCTGTTGTAGATAGTACTATAAAGTTGACACACTCAACCGTTTGAAATTCCATCGTCTGTTTTCGGTGGGATGTCTTAGCTCAGTTTTGCTGATAAAACTGAAATCTATGACGGCCTGATCGATTTTCCCCAGGAAAACTAGTATTGAGAGGTCGTTTCTAAATGACCAGCCTAAGTGCGATGGCGTCTGACTGTTTCTCCAAAGAGTTACCGACTTCACATTTTCCAATAATCCCAGATCCCTAATAAGGTTGAACAATCGAGCTTCAGTTGAGCTTTTGTAGTGGCATTGGACCATAACCACACTATCCTCAAAGCTGAATACGAGATTACTCGGAAAATAGGTATTCAATATTT